CCATTCAATGGTTGTTAGATATACCTACTTCTTTGAACAGTAGTATGACATTGATAGTAGTTATCATTATATTTTTTTAACATAGTATTTATGTGCCGAAATCGTAAAGTAGCTATCGTACGTTGTTAGTATGTTACCTGTTCGTGTTTTACGTACATAAAATTATTGGGTATCGTGATTTGTGAGTGCCGCAGCGGTAGGGAGATCGCGGTGACGGTGTGGCGGGATTCGATGAAAGTGAAACGCGCTCGTAGTGGCAGCCAACTGCCGCCGTGGTCGTTCAACTCGGCACGCGCCTGCATCCTTCAACGACGAATGACGGTCCATCTTGTTACTCTTATTGTGTCCAGTTTCACTGCAACTATGCCCTTACTGGAGGTAGTTTAAAGTCAAACATAATTGCTAAATCGTGACGTCGCGTTTACAACAGTGAATAACTGTTAAATAAAACTTTTATTGAATATTAATGATCCTATATATTTTTATTCATAAACGTAGAAAGATAAAAGAAAGATTCTCATTGATAACATTTCTGTATCATAATTACTGACTATTTCTATAATACTATCATATTAGAAAAGCTAGCTTCTTATAACAAGGCACAGGTTATTTTATCCAATTGTGTAGAGTTATGACAAGCATCAAATTCAAAGCGAAAATTTGTCTACCATTATTAGTGTAACCAAACATGTTACAAACATTAACAAAAAAGTCAACTATACTCTGATTTTCCTCAGTTATAAGTGTCCCGTCACAGATTAACTAATTTAATTAGACTAAATTGTGCATATCAATCATCATGTTTGTTCTAGTAAGCGGATTTTTCTTAATGGTAATATTATTATCAACTTGTCGAAAAAGTTTTCAAAACATCATTTACCAATAAACTCATTATTTTTTATTATCTATGTTAAAAAATGTTTATATTTTTCTTATTTGTCGGAGATGAGAAACTTGAAATTTATGTATTTTGATGAATTATTTCAAGTTTATACAATAATAGCATTTTAGAAATACATACAGTGCCAAACTAAATGGTTTTATTACAATTGAAATCGTTTTTTATTTGTGGGGCACATTCTTTAATCATATTATTAGGGTTCCGTCTCAAAGACGTACAAAGGAACCCTTATGGTGCGATTTCGTCTGTCCGTCCGTTTGTCTGTAGTCTTTGTACCTATCGCAGCGTTATATCACAGCACATACTAATAATTTAAATTAGGAAACTTCGTATATACTTTTTCAAATTGATTTTACATTATTTTTATACTGCGTAAATTTTTAAATATTTTCCTAAATGTGAGAAAAATATCCATTCCCCACTTATCTCCATAGTTTCTGAAGCAAAAAGTCTGAAATTATTACAGCTTATAAAGGTGTATTTGAATATTACAGGAAAATTAAAACGATGTTTCTAATTAGCACTGTTTTTAAGAAATTGTCAAAGAACCTTCAAAAAAAGAATGCGGCCCAGTCTTTAACCACCATTGTGGCACAAAATAAGAAATTTCTAATTATAGTATCAATAATAATTAGATGTCTAATTATTATATATTATGACAAATGTACGAAACTCTTGGCGTGCAAGCTCAACTTGTACCTGACCAGTTTTATTTATCAATTTAAGTATAGAAAATTAAAAAACAAATGATGCACTATTTATAAGCTAAGATAATAAGATTATTCTTTTTTCCTGTTGTTTTTACTTAGTATGTTTGTGTCACTCAGTAGCTCATAGCTTGTAGTCATTTATTTTATTTAAATGAAAATAAAATTTACCGCTAAACAGCCTTCGGCATAAGAAGTCAATATGTATACAGTTGTATGTCTATTGTTTTTTCATATACCTAATTCATTATTGATAAATACATATTTCTATTGCGTTACTCACATCTTTTATGCGATTCCGTTGTCTTAAAATCTTTTTTTTGCACGTCCCACTGTTTATGTTTCCTATAGTAAACAGCTACATATTTTAATTGACTTACATGCCCCCGCGTAACCTATGTGCTGTAGAGTCATAATAATTATTTTTTCTAATGATCTAATTACAAATTTGTAACGGTTTAAATAATAAAAGGTTTTGATCATTATTAATGTAACTTACACCTAATCACATTAATAATAATCAAATTCATAAATAGAAATATCCAATAAGTGCACCAATTATTGACTGAAATTAATGAATCAATCAATTAAGAAAATTATGTTGTTTTAAAACTCTCTCGGATTTACGTCCTGAAACATACATGAAAATTAATTTTGACATAATGTTCCATCTTTCAACAGTTTACGATACCTATAACATAATCATGTATGAGATTTTAATCTTGTCAACCAACTTAAAAAAAGGAGGAGTTAGCAAATCGATTGTATTTTTTTGTATTTGTTACAACATAACTCCTTCGGTTGTGAACCGATTTGAAAAATTCTTTTTTAATCTGATAGGATGTACTTACAGATTGGTCCCATAGTTCAGTAGTTTATTTTATGAATCAAAATAACTGAACTTTTGTATAAATAATAATTAAAGTTCGTTTTTTTTTTTTGGAACACCTTATTTAATTATGGCAATATTATATATATATATATATATATATATATATATATATATGCATATTTCATACAAAATTCTTAAGATCCATTTGACCGTGACATGTTACGTTACAATTACATGATAATAATAACAGTAAACAATAGAAAACATAGGCATCAATGTAAAGAAATGTAACGATGCATGGAGGCACGCATCGTGAAATAGAAATATAAAAACCAACCGGTTGCCTTAGTTTCGTAATTACTTGTGTTGTCGCATAATTACTTCATTTAGGTCAGAGGTAGAACTTAGGTATATATAGTTTTTTTTTTTTGATGGGTGAAAATGGTATGGTAACCCCGCCTGCGCTAACGAAATACGCTGGCGGAGCACCAGTGAAGGGTGATAGATGAGAATGAAAACAGGCTAGTTAGCCCATCATGATGAATTCATCAGGAATTAACCATGATAGTTTCCAGGGAGAACCGCGAGGAGGTCGACCTGGTTGGATATATTGTTAGCAATGGGATTCTCAATCTCCATTACTAACAATCCCTTTCCCTCTAGGTATATATAGTTTATTTTTTCTTTTAACTTTGACTGCTTTCAAAAGTAACCATTTCCTTTTTTTTAATTGTTATTGTAAATATAAATATTGGTATTAGTATAATAAATAAAAGTTGCCGATATTAGCATCAACATAAGAAAATCTTTTAATATTTATTGTAGACCAGTCGTTTACCGTGCATTTGCTCGCGTGATTTAGTATACAAAATATCCTTTGTGTTAAACTAGAATATAACCTATATGTGTACCAAGTTTCCTTTAAATCCGTTCAGCCGTGTAAAAGTGATGTGTATTTCAATTGCAATATGTATTCATGGGTATGTTGAGGAGTGTAGGTAATAGTAGTAATAATAAATTTACCCCTTATTCACAAAAACTAAAACGTGGTACAAAATCTAAGGGGGTTAGTTTTTTTAACGAAAGACAAAGATCGTTATATAAAGAAATCTATATTTTTGATAATGCTGTTTAATAAAACATGTTGGAAAAAGATTTTTAATTATTATTTTAATAAATATCACTATTTAAAACACCTTTTTTCTGTGAACTTTCTTTTGGCTGTGGACACACGATCGCCGTCACGTCATTTCAAACTCGTCGCAAAATATTCTCGTTTTTGTTGACGGCGGTGACAGACTAACGGCCTGAGTACGGTATGAGAGGTTTTAATAAAACTAATAGATGTTTAAACAATATTTTTAAGAAAGTTTTTGTCTATCTGTCTGTCTGTTTGTTTCGGCATCACGTCAAAACTTGCGCAGTTAAGTTCCTAATAAAGTCTGGTATGTGGTTTATATCGATACCTCATCTAAAAGTAATAATTTCATCTGTTTTCCTAATTTTAAAATCCAATCGTACGAAGTACTGGTCAAAAGCTAGTTAATTTTAACTACTACCTAAAACACATTTTTTCCTTGGCTCACAATAAATCTCTTTTATACATGCATCATAAGTCTCGCTAACTTAGTGTTTATATATTTACTATGTGAGTTAGATCAGCGTTTTTCATAATAATATGGAGTTACGTAATACAGTGGATTAGTAAATGCGCCAGAGAAGCCGCAGTAGTCACGATAGTCGACACGGTCTGTCGCCGCTGGTTAGTGCTATCCGTCCATTATTGACTAGAGGACGAGAGTGAATCATCAAACCACTCCTCTATGCATGTACCTATACCTAGTATCTGCTATATAATAGTTAGATTGTTATTTTTTTATATTACTATAAATAATACTGCGACAATATAGTGTTTCATTTTATGTTTATATTGTTTACATATGTGAACATAAGTATATTTCTGATAGTATGTCTATATATGTTTGTAATATAAATAGACCTGTGACCTTCAAATAATTAGAGCATTGAGCATACTTTAATTTTGAATAACGTGTTTTTAGATATATATACGCGTAATATAGTTTTAGTTATTTAGTTAAACTAATTTCCATTATTGTTTCTACCATTTGTGTTTCTATAGTGAAGTAGTTGTGTTTACATGGCTGTGTATCGATTTGAAGGCTGGGATATGGCAGTGAATTTACAGGGTACAGAGGAATAATACCTAAGTTCTCAGGAATGGCAACGCATTGGGGGGTATCATGGGCGAAACAGTATACTCTTTTAGGCGACGGTTACCACTTTTCAGGTGGGCCGTCAGCTTGTTTGCCAGAAGAAGTTTGTCAGAAGCAAGAAAACCAATGAAATAGACTACTTCAACATGTGTATCAAGATAAAACATACAGCAGATTTAAAGTTAGATCACAACACATTTGTAAAAACCGCATTTTTCTTCTCCTCTGGTTACAATTCTGAAATAACGAACAAAACTAGTCTTTCATAAAAAAATCAATAATATATCAGTATACAATTATAAATGTTGAATTATGTTTGTTTTCAGATGATGAGGTGTAAACAGACGTGGTAAGAGTCGGGCGAAATGAATTCGGACGTGCATCGGCACCAGGCGCACCCGCCGCTTGCACAGGTACTCTTCATGCATACATTATTCTACTATTTAATGTATTACTCAATTCTACATTAGCTGAAAGCTATATAGGAGTGGCTCAATGTACCTGATAAATATTTCTGCGGCGGATAACTTTTCGAAATTCTCTTTACATCTATGTTTTTATCTTTTATATAAATAACAAAAATCACTAGGTAAAGGTCTATAGTAATATAATATTCTAATTATCTGTATTATATATCTGTGCAAAAATATACATAAATATGTATGCTTTATAATTTATATTAATAACATATTTAACATTATCGATGTATGGTGAAAAAGAGCATGTTTGTAACATATTTCTTGTCGATGCATCAGTTTATATGCCGAGTTCTAGTAGTCGCGCCCACAGCGCTTTACTTTCTTAAACATTTCGATTCTTATATAACCGGAAATGTATTTTTTATTATATACTAAATCGCTTCGATAGTGCGATTGTTATAATACTACATTTAGAGAACTTTTTTGTGATGGCTCTCAATCTATATATTAATACGTGAAGCAAAAACTTTGTACACCTTTTCACGAAAATTGCGCGAACGGAGAAGTACGGAATTTCGTACACTTATAGTTTATATAAAGAAGGAGTGCAGAATGCTAATATTTTTTTTTTATTATACATGAAAATACATTAAATAAATTAAAAAAAAAAAAAAAACTATACACACACTAGTATGTATTTGACACACGAGCATATATACTGTTTTGTTTATTGTTAGTCTGTGGTCAAATGGAAAATAGATTAATATTGTTTGTATTTAATATTATAGGTTTATAGTCTTACTGATTGTCAAACAAAACCATAATAAATTCATTTATTACAATATATGTTATGGTCTTATTTCGACCACTGAGCGACCAAAAGGATAAAGAATTTCAGTGACCTCCCTAGGACTGGATATACATACAGGGAGCCTTTTTTGACATTTTGTTAGTTATTTTACGATACAAATTATGAACTGTGTTTGATAATGTCTCTGAAGTAATAAAAGATCTGTCCTTATAATTTTTATTAGTATAAAGTCTAAATTCAATCTTTATACAAAATCACTGGACAGAATTACTAACCGGTTTTTATTAAAAACACCAACTAATTTGCATTTCCGTAATTTCTGGTAAAATGCACATGCGGACATATCTGAAGGATTTTAAAACAGAACAAAGAGACCGTATGCACCATTTGGGAGCCGTGTGAATACGAGAAATAAGAATTTTGCACACAAGCTCTCTGTACAATGTCAGTACCTGCAACCGCGCCAGTTTTGGCGCCCCGCCAAGGCTGTGCGTTTCAATGGATCGTTAACTTCTGTTATATGAGAGATTTATCTGTTGCTCAAGTATTATCAATCCGATATAGTATCGCACAATTACTATTACACATGTATGTAGACCACTACTCTACTTTATCGTTCGCTAATCCAACTTTAATGATTACAACTTTCATATTATGTTAAATTTGCTTTTATATTTATTCTGTATTTCTCTTTGTTATGAGGTACAGAGAAACGTACATTATCATAATGCTCTTACTGGTTGTGAATTTATAACTAATGGTTGTTCAGATAAAAGTAAATTATAAGGAATTATAATTTCACAAAATGAAACTAACCACATAATTACTATGTAAAACCTAGTAAAACCATCTAGTTTAGGGCTAGAGAAAGTAGTTTGTAATGTAAGCTATTTATTTGTTACATTATATTAAAAATAATAATAAATAAATTCTTTAATAAAGACAACCAGGTCCCACAAAATTTTAACAATATTGCATGCCCTTGTTGTTTTAGTAATAAAAATACTTTATTTATTTTTATTTTACATTTAATTGAATAGTTTCGCGGCGGTAGTATTGAACTTCAGAATTTTTTATATACGTATACAGATAAATACGATAGTCTGTACCATCATACATGTATATTCTTTTTATATATATGTACTTGCCTATGGTAACAAAAAGCACCGGACTGCATTGGTGGAAGGCATCGAGGGAAGCCTATCTTCAGCAGTGGATCAGAATAAGTTGATAATGAAATGAACTTACCTATGCTATTTAGGTTTCAAATAGTACGACGAGAAATGCCCGTTTTTTTTAATGGGATGAAACTGGAATGATAGCTCTGCCTGCACTATATTAGGGATACCAGTGCGCTTACTAGTTACAGGTGAGAATAAACTCAGAACAGTTGGTTCATCGTAGCGAATTCTCCAGAAATCAACCAAGGTGTTTTCCAGCGGGGACTGTGTGAAAGTCAGCGTATTAGGTATATTACCAGCAACGAGGGCTTCAGTCCTCATTACTAACTATCCCTTCCCTCTGGATTATCCGTGGTTTATGCTAGCCCTAAGTTTGAAAGCATGATTCAGAGTATACTGGTTACAGCACGGCGTTCACGCGGGTGCGCAGAGCGTGGGCCCCTGCGGCTGGTACTCTGCGTCGGCGGCGCCCGCTCCCACTGCGCCGGCACGCCTCAAGCGCGCCCAGCCGCCGCACCAGTTGCCGGTGCGTCTTAGTGCATACGGGCATGGATTTAAATAGATGCCGCAACTGCGCTTACTTTGTTTGCTAATGTTTTGCCATAAGTAAACTCTAAATTGTATACTTGAATCCCTCTAAATTTCGAATTCGTACTTTTGTATAAAATCTTGTCTAACAAGAGTTCAAGTTCAGGAAAAGGCATTATTTGTGAAAGTTTAGAAGATATTTTCTGCAGGATATTGTATACATATTTGTTATCAATAAAATATTATGTCACATCGAAATAGAAAAAAATTGTATACTGTGCAACTAATTACGGCATCTATCTCTATCTGTGTCTGTGATTGTATTCAATTATCGTTATGCAAAGTAAATGACGGAGATTAGAAGAAAATCGTGAAACAAATTCATTATTATATCCTTCCGCATTTATCCTTATTTTTATTTACATTTTCGATTTTTTTGCAACCATATATCTCTTCAACAATAAAAGTAGATAAATGGCTCTGACTACTGGGATAGTAAGGGTGAGCGTTTTTTCTTTTTTAGTTTTTGTAATATAGTATACATGGAAAGTTTTATGGTAACAATGGTATTTTTGGAATGTGTAATTCAGAATAACTGTTAATTTTTAACTTTCTTCTTTTAAATTTAACATCTTTAACTGCATGTTTATGGATACAGTGTAATATTTCTCTACTTTAAATTAAATGTATTAAACACGTTATTAACATTCGAATAATATCGCATATCGCATTTTTGGACGTTTAGAATGATTGCATATTATGCAAAATTCTTTCAATCATTTTTAAAGTAACAACGTACTTATGCACGTTGCTCTGTCTACCTTAAATTGGAATAATACTTTTGCGAATTTTTAGGTATAAAACTGGGAATAGCAAATAAGTGCTTTCTCTTTTTACTATGTATTTTTATTGGCAGAAACAATATATATCGTCACGCCAGGCCCTTTATCGAATATACAGAGAGAGCGGGTGCAGAAACAATAAAACGTCAAATGCCAACACCTCTTCTATACGAGTAATGTCGATACCAACAAAGTCTATAGTGTTGTCATTGAATGAAAATGTTCCCACGTATAGAAAGTATGTCTCTATCGACGCCCCTGTTGGTTTCCATTGTCACGGCAGTTATAGCTGAAGCAACACCTCAAACACCAATTTAAACAACAATGTTCATATTATCTAGATTTTTAATACAAGATAATGTTATTTACAATTAAATACCTTGTTTCAGTCCGGAGGTGGTGTGAGCGGCAGTAATGGACCACACGCACCACTCTCGCCCACCGCATTGCAAAATTCCGTTCCACACAATGTAAGTTTGTCATTAATTACAATTGATTTTGAGGAATGTAAAAATTAACTTTTAATTAGACTATTTTGTTATATATCTTCGCCAATTATAAGTCGATTATAATAACTTTTTCTTTATATCGAAAGGCTTTACTCCTGTGTTGGTATCAGGACTAAATTCTTATTAAATTGATGTTGATTTTTTTTTTTATTAAAAATCGATTTTTACATTAAAATACAAGTATATCTAAAGGGGTAAAGCTGCCAGTATCTTGGGTACGCTGCCTCGATGTGGAATGTTGGGAGACTATTAGTGTATTCTTTTTAATTTTATTAATGTTATTAATGTTACTTATTATGTAGTTAATTGAATATTAATACATATTACAAGTATACTCATAATAAATAGATTATTTGATGGCGGCCATTTTAGTTATGACTGAATTTTATAGCTTCTATTGTCAGACTTGTAGTACATAATATTATATTTAATTAAATAAAAATATGTAAGAAAAGTTATTGTTGACGATATATAAGTACTAATATCGAACAATAAAATTGCTCATACTCTACTTAATTAGTCATAATTATATGTAGAGTTATCCTCTTATTTTAATACAAAATAAATAGAACATGCAAACATGAATCTTATGTTCAAACATGTTCCATAATTCATGAACTTAAATGTGTACAAGAACACGATGCTCATTATCAATGCGCCATTTTAAGTCCTCATTCCTTGATTAATTGACGTTTTGTGGCTAATGATTTTACATAATAAATAACATATAATATTAGATTGAATTTCCAAATTGATGTTTCATCTAAGTTGTTACTTGAAGATCCAGAAAATAATTTACATGATGGATCTTCCAAGGAAACGAACCTCAGATCCATGTTTGGCAATTGAAAACTGTGTGCAATCAAAACGATACCGTTATACTGAGAGCTCTTTGTTAACCGACATGGAAGTTGATGAAACGTTTGAACTTTCACAATCTGTAAGTACTTGTTCAGTAATTGATTATGCAGAATATGTTGGTGTATATTTTTATTGATTCATTAAACTATGATTAGTTATAATTACGACAACTCGATAACCCCATACATGGCAACATATTAATATTGAAACAACAATAATAATGTACTCATTTAGTAGTGAAAATAAATTGTATGTAAAATTCAAATTTATAAATAACTTTTTGATGTAAAACTTATTAATATTTTAATATTCGCTTTTAGCGCCGAACGTCACGCCTTCGTATTTTGCCGCCAATATAGGAAGTACATATTTAAAAAGATTTTACAATTTTTTTTTTGTTAACAGAATTTAATGTCATCGTCGGTGCGGACGGCGGCTCCCTCTGGACCTGTATCCAATTCTATGCATACTTCACAGACATCGCCAGGTAAGATTTCAAAGGACTTCAAAAAAACACCGTACTCCATCATTTATTTTTATCTTAAAGGATATATTTTTAGATTGATCCCATAGAAATTTCATCAAATATGAAGACGATTCTTTCTATGGAACAAAATCTACTTGTAAAATAAATATTTTATTTGATGGTGTGCATATGAACAGTATTATGAATATCCAACAGTACATAGTGATAGTTCATAGTACTTACACATTGAATATTAAATAATCCTATGACACAAAATATTGGTGGTATTTAACAGTACACTTGTTTCCAATAGTGGTGTCTAAAGGCGCTAGCGATGTGCTGGTCAACTCGTCAGCAATTCAGAATCCACCAGCGGTTGGCACAAGACTCATGAATATGACTCAGTGGCCGTAAGTAAAACATTTTTGTATTCTCTCAAAATAATTATACACACATTTTTGATACAGTAGATCATATAACAGAAAAAATAAGTTCAAAGAACGTTATAGTATAAAAATAAGTTCGTATTATTTCATAAATCATAAGTTGCTTTCCGTGATGCAATGATTGTCACTACACGTATTATAAGATCCTGGGTTCGATTTCGGGAGAGTTAATTCAGAAATCAAACTTTCTGAAAAATTTAATGTATTACGTGTGTGTGATGTTGTGACTATATCGTTTTAGTATTATCATTATTTTAATAACCATATATACCATACAAGTAACTAAACTAATCCAAACCATTTGGAAAATATAGATAAACGAAGATTTACTAAAGAGATTTATCCATCACAAATTAACGAAATTATCGGTAGGGGCAGCACTAGACCGATGTATATCGACTACATAGGTGACATGCTAAAAAAGGGCCAAATTAAAGGTAGCCATAACCGGTGTACGTGTAAGTATGAATAGATTGATGAATGTGGAGAAAGCGAAAGAGGTCTGTATAAATTGAAATATTTGGTGTTTCATTGTTTCAGTCTACCCTCATGGAAGACAGACATTACGGATATGTATATTATAAATGTATTTATTTAATTTAATACGTCACAACAGGATAATATAATATGTATCCTTCTATTGTTTTCTGGACGCTATTGTATAATTCTTACCTACCTACTTGCGTTTCATTTGTGTATATTTTATTATACTCATTAGGTTTATGACAAGAAAGATTAACATTTATAGGACCCGTCCATTTTAGTCAATGATTTATATAATTTTTTCTTTTTTATAATACAATGAACGAATTTGTACTTTATACAAAAAAGAAATACATCAATTCTTATGACATGACTTTTACTCGTTTTTGGAAAGATACTATTTTTAAAATTAATTAAAGAACTAATAAAGATTAGGAGAAATAAACGCATACTTTTTGGATTGATTTTAAATTGAATATTCAATGTGAAAATTTTTTAGAGATATTTGTTCTACTCAGTATTATATTTAAGTTATAATATTTAGCAACTAACTTATTATTTTATTATACATTAGTCAGTTTCACTATATTTCGCGTAGAAATCAACTCGTTATATTGTTGTAAATATTGTAAAATAGAAATTAAAAATAAACATATTTTTTTCCATTGATATTTATTTAATTATATATGATTTGGTGGTTCAAGCTATGTCACCATAGTCGAGTTTGTTCTCTATTTATTTATACAATCTTTGACTTATTTTGGTTGGATTATTTTCCGTCCGTCCATCGTTCCGGTTCAAAGTTTGTAATCCATTTTTCAAACATATAGATTATAAACAGATACGTATAGAAATACGTGTTCACATTTATGAAACCATAGATTAGTTTATCGTTATTATCACTCGCTCACTGATAATGATAGTCTCTATAGTTAGTATACATCGGAATTATGGAGAGTGACATTACGAAATGTTTCAATAGACCTCACAAAGTGAAACTGTTTATTCCTCCGGTACATGCATATGAAGATATTGAGTAAATATCGAAATTAATATTGTCTCTAGTTAGGTTCTGATTAATTGTGCATTGTATATCATACAAGTGTTTTTTATTTATAACACTATGTAATTTATTAAAATTAATATTTAAGAATGTATTTTTTATCTCTTTATTTGCTATCATTTTTGGTCATAATTTATATATATTTATTCAGTACTAATAATTATATAAGTTGTTATAGATCTATTAATATGGATATTGGTATAAATAAGTAAAGCCGATTAATCATTCATAATTTTTCATAGTCGACAATGTAATGGAGTCTTATTTCAATTTATGCGAATCCACCATCTAAATTTTAATACTTCATCAAAAAGACTGCTCTTTTTAAAAGTGGAAAGTTGCAATTTTACTAATTATTATTTGTTTTATCATAAGATATTAATGGTACTAACCGATAAGAAATTAATTACGTAGCATTAATAAAAAAAAAGAAGTTTCCACAAGTTTTCCATGTCTCCGATTACTTTTGTTTCGATAATATACATTACTATAATATTTATTTGTAATCATCAATTTTAACTCTTGTTTTAATTAATGCGACAGAAGTCTTACAATCAACTAAAATCTTATTTTTGGTATTTGTAATCATATTATTTTGACTTATGGAAACAAAAAAAAACAAAGTATAAAAGTATGTATTAATTATTATTAGATATATGTCATATGTGTGTTAATGTACAGTATAATGTTGGACATAGATCTCTCCTGTAAGAGGAAAATATTCACTAACATTCCTAGGCTGCTTGATATAGGTTTTTCATTGCGAGCTTTTCAGCTCTTTCACTTATGTATTGAGCTCATTTCCTTTTACTGCCATGATTTTTTAACAACATCCTAAAATTAGATGTAATGATATTTATAAATATAATCTGGTGATATTTAAACAACAAATTACTTTGACTTGCAAGGAATAGAACTTCACTTGCCACAGACTCATGCGGTTTTGCAATATGATTCTGTGTTATGTTTTAATAGGATTTCATAAGTATTAGTATAGCACTATATTTAGTATAATAAAATATGTATATTTTTGTTGTAGGTGGCATCATGGTGCGATATCTCGGGAGCGAGCAGAGGCGTTACTCTCTGGCTCCCCGGACGGTGTATTCCTGGTGCGAGAAAGCACCAACTTCCCTGGTGACCATACACTCTGTGTACGATTCCGCGGGCGCGTCGAGCATTACCGGTAATATAATCATAAAATTCTATTCTTTGTTCGCGGCTTCGTCCGCATAGCTACGATATATAGATTGACAAGGATAATATGTCATACTCCACTCCCACTTGTACTGTATGCCAAATTTCGTAACGATTAAACGTCTCAAACATCTCAATCTCAAACGTTATAATTCTAATATGTTAATTTTTTTTGTCTGCTATATATACTACTTGTGACTTGTGTTCGTGAAGATAAATAAATATATCTTACCAATAAAATTATAACTAGACGATATCTGTACATAGAAAATATTTAAAAAAAAATATGAGGGGTCTTATTAAGATTTGTCTATCTGTAAGCTATATCCAGCATCATGTGCACCAAATTGGATATGGTTTTAACAGATATGTTCCTATAGGTTTATTTGAAAATGGTCTGGTGTATGTTTCATCTTGATATGCCATGTAAAAATGCTAATTTTTTTAGTTGTCCTACTTCTGAAATCCATGCTTACTAAGTAGCAAGCAAAAAGCTAATTTATAATATTAGTACGAATAATGTGTATGAGAAAAGATACATACATTTATTCATTAGATAAAATATAATAATCAGAAATCATAACCATGAAATAAAGAAACCTTTGACGAAAAACATGAGTGGAAAAGAAAAATAATAACTTAATAATATTATTTAGAATTAATGTACATAGAAACGTTCGTAAATTTTACATTTTGCACTTTGTTTTGTTATTTATGAATGTAAATTTTATACAAACCTTATTAATTCTAAATTATTAAATGTGATATTATTTCAGAGTAAAATGGGCAACAGTGCCAGAGAGTCAGAACCAACGTCTGACTATAGATGATGAAGAGTTTTTCGACAATATGACAGATTTAATTCACGTAAGTAAACTAAAGTAACTTTTAATTAAAAAGTAAAGAATATATATCAGTATATACAGGGTAGAAGGGACAGGTTGCCCAAAACGTAAACAGTTGATTCAGATGAATGTTCTGAATCAAACGGCAGATTGTTTTCCCACCGGCACCACAGCCATATAATTAATTCTTAGTTTTGACGTCGCGCAATATTATATTTGAAATTTATGATCCATACGACGCCGTGATACCTACAAAGCGCGGTCAGTAGCGCTTCTTCGTAAGTAGTTTTCGTAAGCTTGTAACGTTGACTTCACACAGTTGATTCTCGTTGCTATAGGATTTTAATACAAATATTACATTGCTGTTTTTTGATATTTCATAGTATTTCACTATAAAATATTATTATTTCTTTATATTATGATGAGTTACATGATTTGAAATAAGAAAAACATGAAAAATTTTTTAAATTTTTTGGTCAGAATTTCCACTGGTTTTCAAAATAATGGTCTGAATGCATTAAATCCATTTTTTGCCAATCTGTCCCTTACACTCTGTATAGGTATACTTTTTTATATTACAGCATTACCTACAAGATGCTGATGGACTGTGTACAAAATTGGTGCGGTGTCTGCCCAAAGCAGCGCCAAACGGTGCTAACAATGGCTCGTTACCGCCATATCCACCTCACCCACAAGTAAGTACATTAAAAAATATATAAATGTACTCACGACTAAAATCCAAACAGAGGTATTTGTCGACAGTTATCGTGATGGTGAACGCAACAGTTTTTTTTTAATGGGTGAAAATGGTATGGTAACTCCGCCTGCGCTAACGGGATATGCTGGCGGAGCACCAGTGAAGGGTGATAGATGAGAATGAAAACAGGCCAGTTAGCCCATCATGATGAATTCATCAGGAATTAACCATGATAGTTTCCAGAGAGAACCGCGAGGAGGTCGACCTGGTTGTGGGTATATTGCTAGCAATGGGATTCTCAGTCTCCATTACTAACAATCCCTTTTCCCCCTGAACGTAACAGTTGTGTCAGCGCATTTTTATACATATCAAGAATTCATATGTCCACTTTTTAATTTACTCAAGCACTACTAAAATACTAACGTTGTTTAAACTAGGCTTAATAGATAACATTATTGTTCATTAGCAACCACCACCATATCCGCCCACGCCGAGCGTGTCGAGTGCACTCAGCTCGGGCCACTTCCAGCACACGTACTCGAGCCAGCCGCCCGCTGCCGCTCCCGCTCCCGCGCCCGCTACTGCTTCGACGAATTGTACGGTACCAGTGTCTGCTTCCGCAGACCAGACCGACAGCGCTTTGCAACCACAGAAATTCGTCGACGCACGTACGTACACTTGCCTACTTGTGGATATTAATTTTATATTTTAATACTTAAATATAATACATAAATGTTGTTTACTTAAATATTCTACGAACGAGTAATATCAACAACAATATGTTATAGTAAGATTTTATGTAATTCATATATTTTAAATTATGTAGTGTGCATCTATTGTTCAGATGGATAGATAATATTATAATGAAAATTATGATAGCTTACATTATTGTATGAACCTGTATACTGTATTTAGAAGTAAGATAAATTACCTGTAATCTACTACTAATATTAATTATTGTTGGACTGTGTCGTTTATTATTTTGATCTATGTATTGTATTATAGACATTTAATTTAATGGACATTTAGACAACCAAAAATAATATTTAAAAATACTAATTTATTAGATAAGATATAGAATTAAACTAGTAACTATTATTATTTTTAGGCTGGCGAATAGACGAACGAGATTTGGAAATACGGGAAAATATTGGGAAAGGCGAATTCGGTGATGTAATGCTCGGAATATTGAACGGCACGCAAAAAGTTGCCGTCAAAATATTAAAGGACCGAGAGGCAGCCAGCAAGTTCCGCGCTGAGGCCAGTGTTATGGCGTAAGTTTTCGTTTGTATATTAATTATATTTCTACGAATAATTAATAAATATATATACAAATTATAAAACTTAATCTATTGATAAACTTGTTAGTGATTTGATTTAAAGATAGAACCTCTATTTGAATACGTGAAGAATAAAAATATTAATTATATCATGCTTTACGTTTGTACATATTCATAAAGTGATAGATTGGGTGAAAATTGATAATTTTTTAATGGTGATAATCACAAAGATAATTCAATAATTGACTATTCAGGTCTCTGAAGCATGACAACCTGGTGCGTCTGCTAGGGCTGGTGTTCAGCTCCAACGGCAGCACATGCATAGTGACGGAGCACTGCGCACAGGGCTCACTGCTGGACTACCTGCGCAGCCGCGGCAGACACTATGTCACGCAGCTCAACCAAATTAACTTTGCTTAGTGAGTTGTCTATATTTTTTTAAAGTTCTATATAGTATAGTAAGTTAGGCAATGTGCAGAAGGGATTTTAACTCTTTTTTTTTTTTTTATTAAGCCCGGAATAATAACGAGATATAAAACTAGGTTTGCCAACCAGCATTTAGTCCTTGAAATTGTAAGCAGTTTCTGCAACTCATGAATGCCTGTAATATCAGCAATCATTAGGCTATTATTATTATCGAGAGACGGGCCTTACCAGGCAGAAAAATCTGTGATACTGCGACTTTTGTGCTCGCTCCTTTTTTTAAAGTTTGCTGCTAATTCCTGTCAGTAATAGAAATTTTAAGCTAAGATTCAGCTAAGGTCGGCTCTACTTTAAATGATGCTGAAGCTTCTGATTGCAGGTTACTCTTAGATTAAACTTGTCTGCTTATCAGTGTATTTATCTGTGTATACTCTCTGGTCTTGCGCCGGGTACCGGTATCGCATGTGCGGTGTAGTGCAGTGTGCGTGTGTTCCGTGTGTACAGCGACGCGTGCTGCGGCATGGAGTACCTGGAGCGGCAGCGCGTGGTGCACCGCGACCTGGCGGCGCGCAACGTGCTGGTGTCGCACGAGGGCACGGCCAAGGTGGCCGACTTCGGCCTCGCGCGCACCGACCACGCGCTCGACGACCCCGCTGACGCCGCGCGCCTGCAGGCCAAGCTGCCCATCAAGTGGACTGCGCCCGAGGCGCTCAAGTACAATGTCAGTATACCACTATACAGTGCACACGCTCTGTCTCTCTTACATACATTCCTCTAGTTCGCTATCTTAGTTCAAGAGAGTCATTTTACATTTATAGAATACAAAATTGCATTGTGTAGAGATATACAAGTGTAAGAATCCTCGTTCTTCCCTTATTTAATATTTGTTTAGTCTAAGACAAGAGCAATTTCTCGCTAACAATTTAATATATTGTTTTATTATCATGATATACATATACGATTACAATATTTAAAAGCGTTACGAGAAACTCGCTTCAGATTTTAACTTGCTTTTTTTGTTTTAGAAATTTTCAAACAAGTCTGATATGTGGAGTTTCGGTATTCTTCTTTGGGAAATCTATTCATTTGGAAGAGTGCCGTATCCGAGAATTGTAAGTTATCTATAACTAAACTATATTAGAATAGAATAAAAATATAAGTATTAATTACAAAAAAAAAGGCTTGTCTTAATTATATATAATTCAAATTATGCTCAAGTATAATCCTCTCTATAAATTGCTTAGGGAATAGGCAGTTTTTCTTTCTAAGCAATATAGAGAAATATCTGATAGAAACAGTTCTATATATAAGCTCTGCAGCTTTTACAACCAATTTACTCTTTTGGGTACCAATTGTCTTTTTTTTTTATACATTTAACATTATTTGGTACAATTTTGTAACTCGCCTAAAGGAATTGATTCACAGAATACATTTTGATAACCCACGATATCCCTTGCTATGGCATGCAGCTATTAAGGACTAAGTTGTTAGGTCTCGTACTCTTACTCGTAGCCTTAGTAGTCATTACCATATTTGAACGAAATTACAATAAAAGCACGTTTGAGATAGAGATACTAATGCTCACACCGTCTCCATATTCAAACTTCGAGGTATTTCGGACGCAAAGATATGTCGGTGTCATAAAATGTGGAACGCAGTGGAGGCAGGCTAGTGGGTGGTGTCGCGTGTAGCGGTGCTGGGTGGTGATGTGATGTGTGATGTGGTGTGGTGTGGTGGCAGCCGCTGGCGGAGGTGGTGCGGCACGTGGAGCGCGGGTACCGCATGGAGGCGCCGGAGGGCTGCCCGGCGGGCCCGTACGACGTGATGCGCGCCGCCTGGCACGCCGACCCCGCGCAGCGGCCCACCTTCGCGCACACGCGCCGCTCGCTCGCCGCCATCCGCGACGCCGCGCACCACCAGCACCATCCGCAGCACCCGCAGCACCCGCAGCACCCGCCCCATCCGGTCAGTACATGTACACTGCGTCTGTAGTATATATTTTTTTTAATGGGTGAAAATGGTATGGTAACCCCGCCTGCGCTAACGGGATACTCTGGCGGAGCACCAGTGAAGGGTGATAGATGAGAATGAAAACAGGCCAGTTAGCCCATCATGATGAATTTGTCTGGAATTAACCATGATAGTTTCCAGGGGGAACCGCGAGGTCGACCTAATTGGGTATATTGCTAGCAATGGGATGCTCAGTCTCCATTACTAACAATGCCTTTCCCCCCTGTAATATATAATTATAATGATCATATTATAAAAATGTTATAATGTAACAACAGCCCAATATATACAACAATACAATAATAACAGCCCTTATCTGTTCACTGCTGAACATAGGCCTCCCCTATAGAGACTGTCATAAGGAACGAGACCATTCTTTATGGCAGTTTACCCTTATGGGATCAGTAGTTACCACAAGCCAAAAACACATCAAGTATATCTTTACATTTATATAGTACATTTATTAAATAACAATGTATTAGACTGTTTTATAAAAATAGATAAATTAGTGTTATAAACTTAAGTTACTTAGTGTCCCATAAAAAACACCAATTTAGACTGTTGACTAATGTATGATATGTTTGGCCCATTTTACAGACATTATTAGTTAGACCTACTACGATTTGTTTGAATATTTTTTCTTTCTTATTTATTTATTTGTAAAAATGTAGATAAACACTTTGTTTTACTGCCAAATATAATTGTCTTTTCTATGCTCAATATAACTAGGAACCATAATTAAATCCTAAGAAATGTATGGGATTAACAAGTAACAATTTAAGGCTTAATTTCATGTATATAGTCATTGGCTCTTTAAACTGTCGTTTTATTTCGTATACAATTCATTATTAAGTAAATATCTTATTCTTCCAGTGAGTGCTATATGGTGCGTCAGCCGAGGACTGCATATGTTAATATATATTTTTTAGTTAAGTGATGTGCTGTGAAGGTTGCGAACTATATTTTATATATTACTCAAAATGTAAGTACTAAATTATTTTAATATTTTAAAGACACTCCCTCGCTTAAGTAATGTAGACTAATTAGTGTAAAATATTGGTGTGTCGCGAGAAAATTATGTGAGATGGTAGTAAAATACACATGTTATTACAGGGCTTTTAGTTGTAAGTCCTTTAAATTAGGATTTCGACCCTGCGTTTTAGTAATTTCATGTTTATTATAGTAGGTCAATTGATGAGAGATAAATAATAGTAGGCGGTTCAGACTAGAGTGGATCATCCCACAATCAACGACAATTGTCTCTCTTTGGCCACAGTGATAATAAGAGGTCATACATACATTTTACCAGTGAATTAGTTTAATTATATAATAGACGCCATAAAAAAATACAAATTGAATATAAGTATTAATTTCAAAGAATAAATATGTTGATTCCCCCTATGAGGCTAGTTCTACTAAAAGCTCTGTATGTATTGATATTTGTTGTTGGCCTAATTTACGAATTATTCTTTATGTATCGTCAGGATTCCACCCAATATGAACATTGGTCGTGTGTCGGTACTATGGTACTGTCTAGTCAAAGTAAAGATGTTTTGTACGATAATTAGTTTTCATATTATTTACAACATTAAGGTGACTGATAACATAGGACTTAAAGAATTACATAATGTATTTATGTCAGTATGTAGGAATTTAAACATCGCTTGCTGATGCAATACACAAAGGTCTCTCAGAATGGCCACATAAAAGTTTATATCATGATCATACACTTTTGTTAAACGGTGAAGACTAATTTTGTATTTAAAAATAATTCCAACAACAATGTTACCCTGATACATCATCAACAATCATTACTGCAAAGAATGAGGTGTAATAAAGCCATGTTTTCAGTTTGATGTAGAGGAAAAAATATAGACCATTTTAATAAATAAATCTTCATTAGTACGTAATGTAATCCAATACATTGATCATGATAATAAGATAACTTAGCCCTAAAATAATTCCAAGTTGCAAATGCCAACTTTAAGGTTGTGTGTTAATGTAAATTATAGTTACTTTATTAATATTTCTCATGAAAAATAAGAATTTAATGAATGTCATGAAATGTTCCATAATATAAACGATACCTACTTAATATAATTACGTGCGTCTGAAATATGTATGAGTGCACAATATGTATGAATTCACTGACATTCAGTTTTATTTAAATGGAATTATATTTAATTAAAGCTAAATATATTATTCAAGGTATATGCAAAAGTCGAGATGCTAAAGTATGGGAAAACGCGGCTTATTTTTTTTTATTAATAAGGGGCATATTACACTAAAAAATCATAATTATGTATATTGTCTATAATACAAACAAAAATGACTAGCTGATATCTAAACAACAAGATTAATCCTTTGTAGTTTAGAACATTTTACTAATATCTAAAATGTATCACTAGCATGTAAAATTGGCAAATAGAATTTGATTCTATAAATTTCATAGTGTAATATACCAAAAGCATTTATCTATTTTTGACTGTAACTGCCGTCATTATAGTACCTAACTATACTACACTTACTCGTATTGCATATATCAAGTTTAGTTTTACAAAAACCAAATAGAAATGTACAGTAAATTGGATGGATGGACTAAGAACTGACATAAAGGATTTTATTACATTTTCTTATTATAATTTCTATACTAAAATAAATTGGATGTCTAGTATAGTGTATGTTGTGGATTCAGAATGATCGAAGGATTAGATTATGATTTTGAATCTCACTTTTATGACAAAATGTATTATTAAATTATAACAGTATAGTTGGTTGCGTATCTCAACATTGGTAATCAATGTGAGATTATACGGGCTTGTCCACAGATTTTATATGAAAAAATAATTAGAATAGAAAATCCTAAATTTATAATATTTGAAATATTTACTTAGTCTATGTTATTATTACGATTTAGTGTTGTCTTATAATGCGGAATTAAACATTTTTAAAACACAAATTTTGAATATTGTCAATATTATATTTAAAATTTTCTCTTTGTCTTATATATCTCTCCTTTGTTTTAATTAAAATTAAATTTCGCACTCTAAATAGAGCTCATTTAATAAAACTGTGCACTCGATTTAAAGAAGCAACCATAAACATTGTTAAGGTGCCGAAATATTTTTGTCTAGTATATATGGTAGATAGCTTCATATTTACGATAAGTATTCGACCTCATTCATTGATTATTTTTTAAATTAGAGACCATTATGTATTTTTTTTTTGTATTGGTTTGATTTATAATATTTTGTTATTGAATAAAAGTCATTGATTATTGAATTATACTAAAAGCATATAAGACAACATTTTTACGTTATTTAAAAAGTCTGGTTCCATGACCATAATTATTATGAAGAGAATATTTGTTTATGTAATGTAATCTTATGCAATACTAGCTTTAAGTGTTAAATTGTTTTTTACGGTTTATTTATGGTCAGCCTGCAAGTGGTGAGAAATGATCCACCCAACGGTCCATTTCTTTTCTGCCAAAGTATGTTTAATATAATCTTTTAAATATTTTCACGTCTTCCTATTTTCATGATTTTGTAGTTATCATAAATATAAACTTTGTGCTAGTCTCAAGGTTTCGTTTTATTCATGCGGACTGATGTATTTACAGTTGTATTTTTTTAATTATAAATAAGGAAATGAAAATCTCAGTTTTTGTTTATAACTGTAACTATTTTATTCCTTCACTGTACATATGTGTAATTTTAAAGTATAAAATGTATAAATAACAAAATATAAATCTGCAACAAATTTATTGTTTTCATTTATTCATCTGTATCACTACTACATATACAAGCATCTGAATTGCGATCGCTATCATAAATTCCTTTAAAATTCTCTGAAGATTTAATTTCCATTGCTTTTCGGCTTAACGGCGTTTTTGGAATCCAAATTTCTGTTTTATTATTCTTGTGTGTACTATTTATTTTGTGTACTGTGTTGGTAGGAACGCAATATTTGGTCTGTGTTTCACATCCCTTCTCACCAATGCAACTGCTAGATTGATCGGCATAGGTTGTCACCGATTTGTCTGTAGTACTTGGTTTAATAGTTTTGTTACATTCACATGTAATTTGATATTTATTTTTTCTTGGTTTTTTTTTATCTCCATGTAAACTGGAACACGACGACCTTTTTTCTTTAAATGCTATTGGTTTTTTATTTTTATAAATTGAATCTCTTGATATTGATTGTACTATTGACATATGACTACTGTTACATTCTTGTTTTAAGTTTTTACAGTATTCTGATTTTGTACAACTGCTATAGGTACGCGTACATTTACAGGGTTTATTGCAGACCACTACGTGTTCGCAGGTGCGTTTTGTTTCTATAGGTATTTCCACTTGCACTGCTGCAGATTCTATAGTACGCACGTTCGGAAACCACGTACATTCGCGTAAACTAGGATAAAAGTAATGGAGATCTGTCGTCGACGTCCAGTTGTCGTTGTGAAACTACAATTACAGAAAAGGTATTTAGGATTGTCTACCTATCTTGACTAAGAATATTCCGCGCCATTTACACTTCTTTCACGATTTATGATGTACCTTTAGTAGAAAACCTGGTGAAGTAGCCATGTTGTTATCAGAAAAAGAATATGATTTCGAAAATGGCTCTCCATTAGCTCCTTGACAGTATTGTTGGAATATTGCGGGTGGTATCCTGTAGTGATAAAAAAATATAATATAACGCTCACCAAGGGCTTATATTTTATAATTATCTGTATATATATATAAAATAATCTTAAATTACATATAGGAAAATAACTTACGGGTTTGAAAAATTCTTAATAAACCACACTCCAGTGTTAGTGCGACAGGAAGGATTACAATATAAGTTGGGATTATATGTATAGGATGGCCATCGTTTATTTGCTAAGGGTACGAAGTAAAATTGAATAGATCCATCAGGGAATAGTACTGAAGCGACTTCGCCTTCTCCTATTATTTCAGGGTATGTTCCATAATAGGGTGCTGTAAATACATCATATTAATTATAATTTCAGTCGCTAATCGATCACTGCTAGATATAGTTTTTTTTTAAACAACTTAGAATGGCAAACAATCTAAAGGCTCACCTGATGGAAAGTGGTACCTCTGTCCCATTCGTGTTTCTACCGTGAAGCAGTTGTGTTTGCATGGCTATGTTTCGGTTTGAAGGATGGGATATGGCGTGAATTTACAGGGTACAGAAGAATAACATCCGAGTCCTCAGAAATGGCAACGCATGGGGGGTATCATGGGCGAAACAGTACACTCTGTTATGTCCATGCTATAGGCGACGGTTACCACTTTCCATCAGGTGGGCCGTCAGCTTGTTTGCCATTCTAAGTTGTATAAAAAAAAATTTAAAAAATGTTTGGTAAAAACAGTAAAACCAGACCATTATTCTGAATTGAAATCCAGTGGAAATTCTTTCCGAAAAAATTAAAACTGGTATTTCAGTTTTTTTTTCGTTTAAAATCATGTAATCTATGATATTACGCCTTAATATAAAGGCATAATAATATGTTATAGTCAAATACTATGAAATATCAAAAAACAGCAATGCAATACGTATTAAAATCCTACCACGACTCGCGAAAGAAGCTGTGAGATCGCCATATACTTACGAAACCTACCTACGAAGAAGCACTATTCCTAGACCGCGCTTTGTATGTATCACGCGTCGTATGGATTGTAAAATTTCAAATACATTTCGTGAAATCAAAACTAAGAATCAGTAATTATATGGCTATACAATTCCGGTGGGAAAATAGTCTGCGATTTGATTCAGACCATTTATCTGAATAAGCTGTTTTCGTTTTGGTCAACCTGTATATACAGAAAACTGTCACCTCATATGGAAATCTCAGGTAATGTAACTGATTTCTGTATAACTAACTCCGAATTAAATAAATTATATTTACTAACACGAGTTGTAAGTATAAAACTGTCCACAATTGGGCCCGCCATACCCGATACCATAGAAAGGCTGGTTGCATTGCATGGTTGGAGTAAATTTTGCTTGTTCAGTTTTTTGTATTACATAATAATTCAGCTATTTTCTATGGTGTGTGAATATAAATCTGATATTTCATGGCCCATTTTTATGGCATAATTGTCAGAGTGACAACATATGAATGTTTTAATTTCTTTTTACTTAGATAAATAACTATAATAATATTCTTTCCATCTTCGGTATCATGAACATGTTCTTATTACAGACTTAGTATAACGTACTTATTAATACAGTGCTGACGGTAATTACAAAAGTGATCATTGATTTTAGTACAAACTTATTTCCATGCAATATCATATGAAATCAAAATACGATATTTACGAGATATTTAGCAAATCAGTATTTGACTATAAGTCAAATCAGCATACTTTCATTATTCAGCATAAGCTATTATAGACAGGCTTCCACTATTGTTATAATTACGTATTAGACGTCAGTGCTGCCATAACGCACCTATGCGCCTTTTTAATCGTTTGAATGCAATAACGTCATATACAAACAAATAGGTATTATGTTTAGTTTGCTCGTTTTACGTGAAAATAAAACAAATTAATAACGGCTTATACAACGTTTTATTTTATATTCCTACTACATTGTAGTAATTAACATTTGCGCATACGTAATATGCTTGTAACCATGACAAATGAAATTTTGTCGAATCGTCAGATTTTATAATAGAAGTAGTCATTATAATGTACCATAAAATACTTTTAAATTTTAATTGCATCACAGATTATATTGATAGCATAATCATTTGTCAGAGAATTATACCAAAGGTTCGAAATTCATGGCTCGTAAGTCTATGTATAAATGAAGGTGGATAAAACAGCTTGATATATAACATCAGCTGAACACAGCATTCCTAATATGAAAGTTCACAATGTATTCCGAATTTGTTCGTTGTACGCTGATGGCAAAGGGATCAGTTGGATGAAAAGTAAAGGCGACTAGACGGCGTGCGCTCGCTGGTACCGTCTGCCCAAGTACTCCCGCATAGATCTTAAACTTTAGCAGGCCGGAATCTCGAGCGTAGAATCTGGAAAAAATTCCAATAGTAATTTAAATACATATCGCTCGCATAAGTGCAAAGACAGTGAATGACATTTGAAACGTAAAAATTTTTTTCTTTAATTATATAGACATGAATATCTATATATTTATTAAACACAAATAATATACAACACACACCGGGCCGCATAAAGAAATTACCAACACACAATGTTTTACAAATATATATATATGATTTCTAATTTTGATAATCGATTCAATTGCAGCTGTAAAGTTAGTTTCAAATGTAATTTTCTTTGTAGTGTTTTTGTTTTGTAGCTTTACGCTGGCTACTGTGTACGCGTGGATTTCAGAAATAGAAAATTAACGAAATAAATCACTTCTAGATGACGTATCAAGATAAAATAAACCATATTACATTTGTCCATAAGAAACACAACTGTGAAACCGCATCTAATTAGATGTAGTAATTTTTGCATGATGGCGAAATAAATATACAGATTAATAAAAAAAAATTGCTAAAAATTATTGATATGAGGGCAATTGAATTGCCCTTATATAAATTTTTCTAACATATATCCCATGTATAGACATCGTCTAGTAACAATTTTATTACATTAGTAATAATTAATAAAAATGCAGCGCTCTTATAACACTTCATAATCATCATCAACATGATCATATCATGCGTTAACTGTCTACTTCTAAACAGAAGCCTCTCCCATAAAGGGGAATTTTACCAGCAGATAGCCATGTTTTAAAAGGGACACTGCTGATCATTTCTCGACCATTATATAACTTCAAATCCTTTCGATAGCTAGGTATTTAACGAGCAAGCAAGATTATAAAAATGATAAAGAAAACAAATCTTATAAATTTTACAGCCTGACATTTATTAAATATTCTCCTTTCTTGTTAGTGTGAATACATGAAAAGTACCATTGGTGTCATAGTGTATTTTATGATATTCATAACGCTATACATCACATGGGCTGTTAACTTGTTTCCCAATTTATAATAATTTACATAAAAACCTACCTACTCCATTATTAATTTTATTTGTAAGAAAATTGAGAAATAACATACCTAATAGGGTACTCTCCATAAGCTTTAGGTCTTTCCATTACAGATACCCATTTGTCATCATAACTAAAAAGACCCAAGTCCAGGTATGGTGAGCCACTGTATGACTGCGCGCTAATAGGCAACTGTGCTAGTATCCGTTTCGTAGCCTCTGTACGGCCGCCATAAATAGCTCTCACTATAGTTTGCTTGAATCTTTGTTGTGTCAATCTTGCATATAAATTATTAGACGGTGAACAAGTAAACTGCGAGTCGGCACATAACCTCGCATTTCTAAAACAATCGCAGTAATTCTCGAATAGCTGCAGCAAACCCTCTGAAGTGTTTTCATAAACCTCCAATATTTTGCTTCCACTTATGTTGTAAATTACAAAAAAGGATGATTGACTATTTGGCTCGGCAACTCTCAATGTCACTACTTCTTCACTGGCATATTTAATAAATAGATGATCTTCGTCGAGTAACTGCATCTTCCACATTCGGAGGCTCCGAAACATATCAAAGTATTTATAAAACTTTCTCAACTCAAGTGGATCACCTGTCTCGTCACTAATGGTTTTGGCTCTTTTAAATAGGAAAACTAGAAGCCTATGCTTTAAACTATTTATTGTCTCCTCATGAAAAGGCCGCTCGTTCAGAAGTGGAGCGTATACTGAGCTTACAATAAATGGATCGTCGTCATAACAGAATCTTCCAATTTTCCTTATCTCTATTAACATCCCTTCAACAATTTGAAAAAGATGTATCGTTTGATGTTGTACAGACAGCACGGCCAACACTTCCTTGTACAAGTATATGCCTTGATTGTGCGAGAGATAGATTTTATCGATTCGAAAATGTTTGGTATCACACAGTTTACCGTGATGCAGGTCTACCAAATGAAGGGAGTAGTCTTCTAATGCTGATCTGCAAAAATAACATTTTTGATAATTTTAGTTAAAAGCGCAAATGAATCACTTTTACATTAGTAAGGATTGTGATTGTAATTGGATAATTTTTTTTAATCGCACATCACAATTGGGTCAGATTATTGTAAATTGTAACTAGACTATTATTATCAACATTTTTATATTTATTATGTTTATTTATTTATTCATACTTTATTGCATCATTTATAAAGTAGTAAATACAGTTAATTTTAATGAGAACATTGTTATTAAGTATTAAGTCCGCCTTTTGTACCAGACATTTCTTTTTTAATGTGGTCAATAAAGAATAAATAAATAAATACATTGTTATTTTCTTTACCTATCCCAATAATGAAGTACCACATCCATGATTCACTGTTCATTCCAAAGATTGACTAGTAGAGAACGCTACTAGCATTAAATTCGCCATTTGTACCACAATTTCTTTTATTCAATAAAGTTATTTAAATAAATAAATAAAATAAATTAACCATTAACTAATAAAAATTTAATCTAAACTTTCATACCTCATTGTTGGTGTGACAGCTTCATTGTTACTATGTATATGATAGAAATGAGGTCTAAGGTCATCAGGTATATGAGCAGCAGACCCTACTATTACATAACGGCCATCTTCAGTGAAAAGACTACATTCCCGATTCAGCTGTTGCTCCATGAATGGCACTTGATTTACATTTCGTTCATCTCTTGGAGCTTCTCTTTGCTGACATACATTAACTGTAAATTTGGGCTGTAAACAGAAAGAATTTAACATTAGAATTAGCAGTGTGTAGTCATACCTGCTAAAACTGACTATTACCCCACATTACTATGTGCGCAATAAAGCTGCATCTATTATTACTAATTATTTAGGATATTCCAATCATAAGTAATTACTAATTTATTAAATAAAAGTAATAGTTTTATAGGTGTTTGAATCTAAGCATTTCGCGTTACATTGTTTCTACCTACCCTAACGGGAGACAGACATGATGGATATGAATGTATCAATTTTATCTTTTAATTATCAGGCGATCCACTGATACATTCTCTATTTTGCTATTTATAAGGTTTTTTTCTGTACATTTCATAAGCTTGTGTCATTATTTGAAATTTTTATTTTATTCATTCCTTCAAATTGTTAGTTGGCAAATTTACCTTGAAAAATCTATAAAAAATATGTGTTCTTATAGTATAATGGATGTCAGCATCTGCATTCAGTAAGTCTGAGGGATACCTTGCAACCAAATCTCCTGCAGCGGCAGCTCCTCTGTATTCATATATCTGAAATTAGATGACAATAATAATATTGTGTGAAAAAAAAATGGTTAATCTTTTTAAAACAGTGTTTTTATACAGATGACAATATTTTGTAAGAACATCATGACTTTCATGACATTTTAAATATCATCTCTGTCACTTACATTCACATGAAATTATGTAATATAATATATATGAGTGATAGAAATTAATATATAAAAGCCAAATCTAGTTATCTTTCTCAAGTTGGTGTGCAATATTTGTTACACAGTACAATGCAATATATATTACTACTAGCTTCTACCCACAACTTCATCTGTTTCCGAATATCAGAATAAAAAAAACTAGGGGCATTTCATGCAACAGAAAATCTGGATAATCTATTTAACAATTAAATCAAACAATATGTAATTAAATTTTAATATTTTTTTATGTAAAAGGCTTTACATACATCATTTAGAGTTTAAACAATACAATATAAAAACATTAAATGCTATAAAGATAATGAATTACATAATACCTACTTACTCAAATAATACATAATAACATTTCTAAATTGGTAATTAGAGCCACAAGGAATATGTCCAGATAATAATCTCGATTATACTATATCTACTGTATACCAAATTTCACAGTGATTGGTTAAGGTGTCATAAGGTAACAACCTCACTTTCTCAATAATGACAAAATTAGTAAGGAGGATATGTAATAATGTAGTCCTCTAACATATAATAGCATACAAAATGTGATAGGACATAAAGCTGTGATGCCTATGGAACAACCTAAAAAATGTACTTTAGCTATTACCTCTAATGAAGTTTGATCTGCTGAGAATGCTATGAAGTGTTTACCATCTGGACTGAATTTCCTTAGGAAACATGGTGGTTTTTCAACATTTACTATGGTTAAGTTAGGGAAGACATTCTGATAAAATTCTCGGACAACATGAAAGTGTGAACCAGGTTTTCGTGAGCCATAGATCTCTCTCTCCATTAATCTAACAACTATATTCTGGGGTTTTATCTTTCTTGGAACTATGCGTTCTGTACATATAAATTCATCTTCTTTAAGAAATCCAGGAGGAATATCATCATAATATACATTGCTCTGTCTACTAGTTGATGCCATATTTATTTATAATTTTAAAAGCTTTCCTTTTTTCTTAAACATTAATATTATTAAGATTGTATAAGAGATTAACTATATCATAGTATATTATACTCCATCAGAAGGGCTGAAAAAGATACAATAATTTGTTTACTAAAGAACGAATAGTTGCACGTTGTATTTTTATCGGAAATACCAAAATATTAAATACACAGTAATTCATAGTTACAACTATTACTATTTTTAAGCCTGTTTAAATTTAAGCATTACTAAAGTTGACTTCGATAAGTGGTCATTAATTTCTTATACCCAATTATATACTCCGTTTATCTCTTTAGACTAGATAGAAACTAAACACAATCATTTCTCTCCCATTGAGCAAGTAATCACTACGATTTTTTTTACAAAATCTATTCATTTACCTACGTGGTTGTCTTTTATAAACACCTTTCCTAACATCTCCTTTTTGAAGCAAATGTTTAATTTTTGCCATAAATATATTTATTAATACTATCTTTTACTCTATTGTGAAATTATAATTCCTCCAACAACTCATTACCCATTGAATAAATATAATTTTTAAAAATTTCTCTTTTCTTTGTAAATAATAACACAGATTAGAGTTAGGATTAGAGACACAATAATAATAATAGGGAAATTTGACTAAAAATTCCTTGTTCTTAGATTTGACTATAAATTGGGAACAATGCTAACTGATATACATCTTTCGCTCTCTTTTTGCTATTTATATTTAAATAAAAAGAAAAGAGGCAACCATATGATTTATTCTTTTATTTTATCATTCTTTCTATGTATTTCCTTGTTCTTAGAGTTAAAAGAATTTCTAAAAAAGTAAAGGAACGTAATATATATATAGGTCTTATAAAGAAGATTAGATACCATTCTTGATCCACTTGAATATAAAGAATATAATTCTTATAATTTAACAATTAATCGTTTGATTTGTTCTCTAGGTAAAATATTTTTTAACAATTAACAATTATTTATGGACGATCACTTCACGCCTACTTCTCTATCTAAGTCAAACTTATTCAGATAAATCATAAATTATCTGTATAGATTATAGAGCAAGAAATCACTACGATATAAGAGTTGACACCGCCCTCATATCAACGAAACCAAGAACTAAAATTTAAATGCATATAACCCTTCAAAAGTAACAATACTATAGAAATAATACAAATTAAGTAAATAAAATCTGGCCGCTCAGAGATTGCGTTTCTGACTAATGATATACCATAAAAAACATTAATAATGATTAGTAACGTTATTTATTGCATTCATTATATGCATAGTTATTCAATTTAATATATATTTTGATATTTTTTATAGGAATTATATTTTCAATACAATGTTAATAAAATTGTTGATGAATGAATTAAATTGAATCGTAATTTCCGAATGTAAGAAAAGGAAAGAAAATGAGAATGCTGTATTTATTGGAAAATGTATATTAGGACATACATATTTTTAAGCCTTAAATGAAGACTACATCAAATCAAAATGTAATCGGACTCCAATTTGCTTGCGGACTTACTGTCATCTTCACTAACATGTATTATCATATTATTGTCAATCATAATATCTATACGGATATCGCGGTCAAAGTCATCAAATATAATCTTTTCAGTTTTTTCAACCACCTTCATCCAGTCATCTCTTGTGACTTTTTCGCATGCTTCTTTTGAAAGCGTCTTCATATTTTTTATGCCATACATGGAGAAGTATTATGACGGGCTGCAAAACCTTTAATTTGAACCCAGATTAGCTCTTTTTCAAAAACCCCAGTCTCCTAATTACTTAAGCAGTAAATTCCAGTACCTTTTTAGAACTCACAATCGTAACCTTCGTTTTCTTTTATACAACTTAGAATCACTAACAAGTTAAGGGGCCACCTGATGGAAAGTGGTAACTGTCGCCTATAGACATAAGGAGTACCATGGACATAACAGAGTATACTGTTTCGCCCATGATACCACCCATGCGTTGCCATTCCTGAGGACTTAGGTGTTATTCCTCTGTACCCTGTAAATTCACGCCATATCCCACCCTTCAAACCGAAACACAGCTATGTAAACACAACTAATTTACGGTTGAAACACAAATGGGACAGAGGGACCCAAGCAAACAACTTTTGTACAAAGTCTCCCTCGTTCTACTAATACTCTTCAACTATATATTCCCTTTCACCGTACTAGTTTCGCTTCAAATTCTTTTCTCCTACATTCTTTACGACTTTGGAACACGATGCGTCTTCCGGATATTATTACGAGACTACCGACTAAACCGTCTTTCAAAAAAAAAACGTTCATGCTTATTTTTTTTACTTTATCCTAGCAGTAAGTACTTAATATTATTCTCAATTTTGTGTATAATATACTGTATGTCATATATATGTAAGTATATTTGTTATTTATATATATTTATTCGTTTATATAAGTAATTTTAGTATGTATGTATATCAATATATTACTATTACCGCATTCGAGTATTTTGACATTTCCCTATAGTTGACTGGAAGAGAATGCTTTTAACAATAAGTCCGCCATGTACACATATTTGTACTAATGCATAAATAAGTAAATAAATAAATATGGCATTGTACTGGCAGTGGTATGGAAGAATTCGGAGAACGCGATGACCGTACTTTAGAGTCAGCTCATCTATTTTATACCAGTTGCCAGTTTTTATCAAAAATATAAAATAGTAAGTAATTAGTTTTTCATTTTTTTTAATTCATCACGACAATTGTTTTCTTAAGTTTTGTTTGGACGTACCTGTATCGTATTATAAACCTTATTAAATATGGATTAAGTACATTATATATTATAAAATCATAACTTTTTTTTTAATAATATACCGACCGACAAATTATATTAAGATTACAAAAATATTCAATTACAATTGCTTTGTTGTTTTATCACTACAAAAACAAACAGTTGACATAACTTTGAAACAGCGCTGTTTGATGTGGTTAGACTTTTAAAAACTATTGATTTTATATTAAATAATTAATTAATTGTTATGAATTGTAGCCCAAAATTAATCGTTTATTGTAAGATGGCATAATTATTAAATTTTTAATGTTATTATGTTTATAATATATAAATAATATATAATATAATTATAAAAGTTATTTAAAATTTTACCGTAAATTGTACGCCAGTTCGAAGTTATATCGCCCATTCGATCACGACCTGTCAGAAATGTAATCTCTGAGCGGCTGGTCATTAATACATGTAAACTTGAATTGTACTTAACTATATTAATTATAATTATTATTTACTCACTTGTTCAAATCTATTGAAATTAAAGTTAAAACGTCGTTTATTCTTTATATTATATCACACTAAACACAAATTAATTAATTTTTTTTTTTACTATGTAATTTAACAAAACACATATTGGTTATTTTTATTTAAAAAAAAAGGGTATAAACCTTTTTTTTTAAGATAAAAATACTTATAAAAGTAAAGTGTTTATTTTTTAATGGCACCATAACTTTGACTGTCATGGCAGATGATGGATATATCAATTACAATTGTATATATTTGTATTCAAGATGTCCTGCCTACGTATTCCCTTACCTACATCAGTTCCAGTATTATTGTTTCTTGATAATTTAGAAGTATATAATTTGATTTCATCTTTTATTCTTATCAATAATATTAAGTTGTAAATTATCTTATTTTATGTACTTTTCATATATATATATTAATATATATATATATATATATATATATATATATATATATATATATATATATATATATATATATATATATATATATATATATATATATCCAATATTAATATATATATATATATATATATATATATATATAATAATGTAAGCTTCATAGATAGATGAAGATATCGATTGAAGCGCCGTTTGGGACGATACAATATTAATATATATATATATATATATATATATATATATATATATATATATATATATATATTTAAGATAGATAGATAGATACTCTTTATTGTTTCCTCCAAAAGAATACAATAGTAAACTTATTATAAATATAAATAATTACAAGAAATAATCACAATGAGAAAACAATGGGCGACCTTATCGCTAAGAGCGATCTCTTCCAGGCAACCTTTGGATGGAGAGGAGTAATTATAAACAATTTGGTAGGAGGCATGATAAAAAATTTTGTTAGTTCTAGATATGGGAGATGTAATACATATAATAATATAAAAATTATCCCTACTCATTACTATATATACATATATATATACATACATATACATATATACATACATATACATATACATATACATATACATACACACACACATACATACATATACACACATATACATACATGCATATAAACGTTGACAAAAAATATGCAAGAAATAAGTATGCTAACCAGACATATAAACATATTAAGGAGATGACAACTTGCTCAAATAAAAGTCCTTAACTTTTGTTTTAAAAGTAACCAGACATTTTATATTTCATTTAAGGTTAAATATATTGTAATTTCTATTTAGATATCTGTCCTTTTCCTTATATTATCCATCATTCAACTTTTCTGATCCTTATCCTAAATTCCTTCGTTCAAAACTCCTTCCCTAAAATGCTGTTTCCCAAACTTTGTTTTTGGCGGATGCACTTTGTGCCGTGCCATAAGAAAAGAAAGAAAAAAAAAAAGATGTCCTGGATCCGCCATCATGGATTTTTTAAATCTGTGGTAACATAGTATCATAGAAATTCGTCATTCCAACAACGATGTTCTAACTGTCGCAGGCCTGGTGTAGGTAATCGTAAATTGTCAAATGATTCCTTGCTGTGTGTCAAATTCAAAATAATTTTGAATTGTCTTCATCGGTTTCAGTTTTATTTCGAACAAATTTATTTTCACAGAATTTATTCTATTATACTATTATACTTATTCTACTGTTATGAAAATGAAACAATGTTTTACAAGTATTGAAAACTTACAATAAATATACAACCCGTTTGGTTATATATTAGTGTTATTGCTTTTATATTTTATAGAATTTCATAATATGGATGAACCTTTAGTACGATATGAAAAAATTGACTTTCTTGGAGAAGGCCAGGTATGTAGTAAAGACTTAATTTTGAAGCATTCAAATCGGTAGTAATTTTTCTGAAGGGGTAAACATACAAGTATTCTGACTCCTTTTTATCCCAAAATGTAAGAGATTTCTATGGAGAAAATTCCCAAGTAGCTGCAGTCTTTCGTGGGGTAATAAGTATTATAGGTAATACAACAATATTGTTATACTGATGACTAACAATAATACAGTGTACTGTGAGATTGTTACTGGAAAATATATTTTTCTAATGGATGAATATGGAATATTGCTTAGGCCTATGCTAATAGTATGCATTGAGGGGAAAGGGATTGTTAGTAATGGAGACTGAGAATCTCATTGCTAGCAATATACCCAACTAGGTCAACCTCCTCGCGGTTCTCCCTGGAAACTATTACGGTTAATTCCTGATGGGCTAACTAGCCTGTTTTCATTTTCATCTATCATCCTTCAATGGTGCTCCGCCAGTGTATACGGTTAGCGCAGGCGGGGTTACCATACCATTTTCACCCATCTTGTCAGATTTGCATTATGATTGTTCATGCTTCATTCTTAGCTTAAGTTATAAATAGTTTCTAAACTAGTATTCTCAACAAAAACATATGTAAATCAATGTGGTTACTTTAAAATATTTTAGAATTGGTGTATGCATGATCCATGTTGATATTTTGAAATTATTTTAAATTCATAATCAGAATTTAAGGCTTAGTTTTTATTGCGGATTTTTGGATTACATCAATCAGCATGAAAGTTTAAAATTTACTTTAAAAATTATAATAAATGAGCTACCTGCCCTGACTTCGCACTGATATACTATTTTTTTCATACAAATTTTGTTCCATTACAAATGGAACAATAAAGAATTAGCCAAATAGGTAGGTGATTTTAAATTATGGCACTTAATTATAGCTACATAATTATTGCTGAAAAGGCAATTGATGCTTATTAGAAGAAAAAGGATTGTTAGTAATTAGGGCTAATGGATCTACTGCTAGCATATACTCTGTCTGGTTCCCTATAAAAAGCAAAGTGGTTCATTCTTAGTCAATTCTTTCCAATGACAATTGGTTTATTGTAATGATGATGACCTGCTTTCATTTCTACTTTTCTTTACCCACTGGTACCCTGGCCAACATCTACCATTAGCACAGATCCCCATTTGTACTAATGGTATCTGCATTTACCATTCCTTTATCATCCATTAAAAAAAACAATAAATATTTATCATAATAATTTATATTTCAGTTTGCCACTGTGTACAAAGCGAGAGATGTAAAAACTGACAAAATAGTAGCTGTAAAGAAAATAAAAATAGGCTCACGGCTAGAAGCTGAGGATGGCATCAATAGGACTGCATTAAGGGAGATAAAATTGTTACAAGAACTACAACATATTAACCTAATTGGACTTTTAGGTATTTATTAATAACTGCTGAACATAGGTCTCTCATATTTCATCATAAAATACAATTCTGCCCTACTCACATGTGTTTCTCTGCAATATTTGAAATCATCCCTTAATCTCACAAAAGTAACACACACTCCAATTTATCTTTATAAAAATTCTCTAAAAAAGTTTGCTACTGATAAGACCACCAGTTGTACTTTGCTTTTTCATGTTTAATACTGTTTGAACTAATTTTGATGACTATGTACTACTACTATTTTTTTATAGTCGCTGAAAATTAAACAAATAATGTGCTTAATCTTAGATAAACATTTAAATATTTTTTTCAAAGTTCAATAATTGCTTTTGTGTATTACAGATGTATTTGGACAAAAATCAAATGTCTCTTTGGTATTTGATTTTATGGACACAGATTTAGAGATAATAGTTAAGGATAATAATATTGTACTTACACCTGCTAATGTTAAAGCATATATGATTATGACGTTAAAAGGTAAGTTTTTTATTATTAGTATTTTGTATAGACTTTCTACCTTAAGGTGGTAACTCCACTCATGTAACTCAGCTGATGATTTAAATGAAAATAACATAGGAGCGACAACAATAAGAGCTACTTGGAACCAATTTGTCAATCATACTTTTGAGAAGGAATACGCTCTTTTCTTGAAGGTTTCAATATCGTATCTGTATGGAAATTTCTGCTGCTGAGAATCGGTTTCATACTTTGGTTGTGCATGGAAGAAAATGCTTACAGAAATGCATGGTAGAGAACACTCCAGGGGGTCAGGATAAAAGTTTAGCTTGTGGAGGGTTGTACAGTGATCAAATTTAGCAGATGGTATTAATCCAAACAATTCCTTTGAATTTGTATGAACTTATTGCCATAGGACCTCCTTGTGAATATTTAGCCTGATATCCTTATCAAAACTGCAGCAACATGAATGATATATATTGACTAAAATAAAAAAGTAATCTTTCTCTTTCTCTGTCCCAAATAATATATGTATACTACGTAATGATTGGTTTAGCCAATAAAGTACCTCAGAACATAACAATTATGAATAATAATATTATTTGCAACAATGTTTAAAACCAGTACCTATTTCACTGTTCTTAATTAGATTTAATTTTTTTAGGTTTGGAATATTTACATCAGAACTGGATATTGCATAGAGATCTTAAGCCTAACAATTTGCTCATAAACAAAGAAGGAATCTTAAAAATTGGAGATTTTGGACTTGCCAAGGCATTTGGATCTCCTACCAGAATAAACACTCATCAAGTTGTAACAAGATGGTATAGGTAAGACAAATCCAAATAAAGAAGTACATGTAATTAAGTTGATAACCAAATATATAATCTAATATCTAAGTATACACATGTAGATGTTTAAATTGCGCTTTTTCTTAAAACTATAAAAGGCTATTTAAAATATGAAACTGAGTATTATGGTTTAGTAGCTACCAAGTTCACATCTAGATTGACACATTTACTTTTCTACTCTCTATTGATGGTGAATACTGTTATGAAAACTAATTCCATCAAAAAATTATAGACTCACTTTCAGTTATGATAAATACCATTTTTAAAAACGAAGTTAAGTACAATCATGATCATTTAATGTTATCTAATTTCATATTGGATTCTTTACTGTAAAGGAGACAAAACAGAATGGCTGAAAGTATTTAACCTTACACATACCTCTCTTTCTTTATACACTTTCACACTTCATATAGTTTTGAAGACTTAACTCCTTAGACAATACGAGTATAAGACTTGTATTCTTATTACCCGAATAACAAATAAATTATTTATCACAGGTCGCCGGAGTTATTATTTGGAGCTCGACAATACGGCACAGGAGTGGACATGTGGGCCATAGGTTGTATACTGGCCGAACTACTTCTGAGAGTGCCATTCTTGCCTGGAGAATCTGATTTAGACCAACTTACGCGTATTTTCCAAGTATTTGGAACACCTACAGAAGAAATTTGGCCAGTGAGTTAAAAGATAAATAGTATATAAAATTATTCAAGTAAACTTAATTTTATTCATACATTTTTGAATAGTAATTTTTTTATGAATCTACCGCTCACTTTGGAATGTAATTTCAGTTGAGAAGCACAGGCAAGAAACTTAGTTGGTTCTTTTTTCAAATAAATGTTGTGTTTACAAAAAATATGAATAGATACAATGATTATCACAAATTTCATATTGATTAGAACTACAGCCAATTACAGTATTCTTGAACAAACCAGTTCTTACTAGAAGCACCCATTCACGAGTGTCGGAATGCTTGTGCTTTTGATGTTTTTGTTGACTGATTTTAAAAATAAGATGCTCAATTCTATTATTAATATTAATCGACCTAAATAATGTACATTGCAGCATTTGCCAATAATTAATAATTTAACTGAAATTGATTTGCGGGGTCTGTGGTAAGAGAGATGGATATGTAGTGGAAAAACCCACACATAAATCATTATAAGTATAATAAAGCGAAAGAATTTATTTGTTGGAAAGCACTGACCTCTAGAACTACCAGTCCGATTTGAAAAACTTTTTACATTTAATAGTTCTCTTTTTATATTTCTTAAGGAAGATTATAAAATATTCAAAATCACGATACGGCCGTTGGTATAATATATCAGCTATCAGCCTAGCTAGTAATAATAATCCACCAACTATATCATCATTTAGGAGAATCCTAAATTATGTTGATGGGCTATATAATTTCGGTTTTATAGAATGCATGTATAGATCAAAGATTAAGGAGGATGTCAGTATACATTGATATATGAGTTAAATTTTTGCTATTGACTATGAAACCTTACCTTTTAAAAAATGTGCTTATATTTTTATTCATCAGGGTATGAAGTGTTTGACCGATTACGTGCAGTTCAAGCCATTCCCACCACAACAGCTGAGGCACATATTCAGTGCGGCATCGGACGATTTGTTGCAACTGCTTGAGAGCCTGCTAGCCATCTATCCGCCCAAGAGGTGCGATTGCACTCAAGCTCTGCAGATGCCTTATTTTAGGTAAAACTCTTTTTTATCCTTTTATTGAGCAATCCTACTAATGTTATAAATGTCACAGTAAACATTTTTGAATATTTGTTATTCAACCACAAGAACTACTAAATAGAATTGATTGAAAGCATATACATGGGTCATATTTTTTTACTTTGTAAATAAATCAACAAACTGAAATGTACAGTATGTATTGCCAAAGACAAATTACATACTGGTCTGCCTATCACAATTAAAGGTCTTTCCAAAATAGTAGTAAAATTTTCAACTTTGTTCTTAGAATATTAGTGATTTTTTTCTTTATTTTAACTACTATATATAACCAACATATTTTTATTTTGTAGTAATAAACCAGCGCCAACAGTTGGGCCGAAGCTTCCTATGCCATCCAGTATATCCAAGATAGAAATAGACAAACCGTCACTTAAGAGAAAACTTTTAGAAAATATGGATGGGGGTTCGCGAGCAAAAAGACTGCAGTTCTAAATATTCCTAGATTATGTTCAAACACTGCCACAATCTAGTAACAATGTAAAGTGCAATTTGTGAAGAAAATCAGATAAGTATCTATATGTAAATGATAATGAAGTTGTACTAGTATTTAAGTTATGATGATTGTTAATAATCTCTCTCTCCTAATCTAAGGAGATTATAATCCAATAAAGCAGGACTTTGAGGACAAAATTTTATAAATTTATGGAAGACTTAATTTTTGTATTTAAAAGAATATAAATTAAAAACAATAAGTTTTTTTATTGCTTTCACTAAAATAAATAGTAAACTAGCCAAGACCAACTATTGTTAACAAACTAAATACTGTATAATTGAGAGCTAGAACTTCTACACACCATATGGAAATAAAAAGGAAATTAAATAACAATCCAAAAGTATAATAACAATAGGAAATATATTATCTCAGGCTTTGCTTATTTTTCTATGCACCAGAATTTATAAAAACCTATTACCAAGTTGTTAATATCAATATTATTATTAGATAATATTAATAAAATTAAAATTATTACCAATAGCACAAGATTAGGAAGCGAAAACAATGTAAAAATAATTCTATAAGAGGTAGCATTTATTATTTTGACTAAATATTTGAATTAGATACATTACTCTCTTGATAAATTAAATAGCAAAGGCACAGTTATCATGAACACAACGACACTCATAAAAGTTGTATTTAATATTACACTATATTCGACCTTTTGTCACTTGGAAATAGAGACTCGTGTTACTAATCTGAAAATAATATTAATACAAATTATTACATAAAGCGTCGATCGATTGATTACATGCATAGTTTCAGGCCACTAGACAAGGGGTAAACGAATCCAATGTTAGAATCGTTATCGCTAGACAGTCCATAACATTTTATGTTATGGACTGTCTATGATTGATGACTGAAATTGCGATATCCGGTGTCTTGTTATTTCTCATGCGAGCAATAGCCAAAACGATTTTTTGTATGTAACTTAGAATGGCAAAAAGCTAATGGTCCACCTGATGGAAAGTGGTAACCGTCACCTATAGACATGAGCAATAACAGAGTATACTGTTTCGTTCATGCGTTGCTATTCCTGAGGACTCAGGTTTTATTTTTCTATACCCTGTAAATTCACTGCCATATCCCACTTTTCAAACTGAAACACAGCTATGCAAACACAACTGCTTCACGGAAGAAACATGAATTGGAAAGGGGTACCTCTTTAAGCGAACGACTTTTGTACAAAGTGTCCCTCTGGTAATTTTTTTTTATACTACTTAGAATGGCAAACAAGCTGACGGCCCACCTAATGGAAAGTGGTAACCGTCGCCTATAGACATGAACAGTACCATGGACATAACAGTTTCCCCATGATACTTCCCATGCGTTCCCATTCCTGAGGACTCAGGTGTTATTCCACTGTACCCAGTAAATTCATGCCATATCCCACCCTTCAAACTGAAATACAGTCATGCAAACACAACTGCTTCATGGTTGAAACACGAATGGGACAGGGGTACCCAAGCAAACGACTTTTGTACAAAGTCTCCTGTCGATACATTCATTTGCTATTGTATAAAACATATCTACTGAATTAATCAGATCAGATTTTTAAAATTGAATGAAGAAAGTAAAATTTTTATACAACCATTCTGAAAGAGTGCTTAGGCCAATATAAACATATATACATTAACTTTTTTTGTATATTAATGGTTATTATAATTTATTATTCTATACATACATATATCTACGCTCTGTCATGTATATAACCTATCAAACATTTACTTTAAATTATTATGATAAAAGTGGTATTGAATTTAGCGGCACGAGACTAAAAGTTAGAAATATTTCTGAAAGAGTAAAGATGATATTTACGAATTCATCTTCCATGTGTAGGCCATGCGAACAATATGCGTCTTAGTAGTGCGCTCCATGATGTCCAGTTCAGTGGCACATGCACCAACGGGTCGTTCGTAGATCACTGCGTCTCGACATTGCACGTGTAGTCCTGGCAAATAGGACAATTTCACAAATTAAAAATTTAGCAAGCATTTTCGCGTATAACGCGTAACAAGCTTTACATTACTGAATACTAAAACATGTGAGCGAAATGTAGATAATGTATTATTATTTATTCTTTATTGTACACAGAAAAAATTACAACATATATATATATATATATATATATATATATATATATATATATATATATATATATATATATATATATATATATATAAAATAAAGATGTACAACAAGCGAGCTTAACTCTGTAAGAGTTCTCTTCCAGCAAACCCTTTGAGTGGAAAGGAGCATTAATTATTAGCGGGCAGTATGCGTACAATAATAGACGGAAACATTATAGATGTTTCTATTAAAAAATATGAAATATGTTGACATATATAAGTAACTCATACATACTAATTTTCGAAACAATAATTTACAAACTACTACTGTGATATCAACGATTCATTTATTTACGTTGATCATAGGCGAATTAAAAGGGGTAGAGGAAAGGGACACGATAAACTCTGGATCAGGAGCGGAGCTTTGAACTATTAGAAAAACCATATCTAGAGTACATAATATACCTTTTTAAAAGGGCAGACCACTCCTATAATCTTAAATACGCCTTCAATAAATAAAGATGGTGTTGTATAACTGTATATGTATTGCAGTTGTGTTACTTACCATAATCCAAATGATCTACGAAGTGGTTTGGTTTGTGCTTGTCACATTTTTTGCTTTTCTTTATGACGGTCTGTACATAAAATTTAATCTGTCCCTTTTGTCATTACTTACATCTAATTTTTTTCGTTTTTTATATATTATTTTTCAAGCTGCTTTAACATTTACATTATCTGTCGGCAAACACAATATTTCAAATTAATACAAGTTCATATTACAATAATAATAATTTTAATGTTCAAAGTGCCAAATCATAGTTCAGTAAACAAGTTTAAAATTTAAAATATTGTGTTCATCACTGCAAGGGTGAAATCTATGACTTATATGAAATGGCTCTGGGAACATTATGGAGGAAAACTAAAATTTAAAATATAATAATATTGTATCATTTATATTGATCAGTTCTATAATATATTGTTTATTTAAATTATATGAAATAATAATTAAATTACCTTGGGAGGATTAGAAACAATAGAAAGGCGCCCATAGACTCCATATTTTCGCTCGTCTTCAGGTCTTAGGGTACCCATTTTTTTCATGATTAGATAAATCTGTAACAGATTTCCATGACTAAATTGTTTTAAATCGTTAGATGACCGATAATAATAGTGTGGTGGCGAAGGAGGTTGCTGTTTCTATAAAAATCCTCGTTTATTATTTTATCTTTACATTTACGGACAGCAAGTTTGATTAACACTGATACTTTTACGGTGATACTTTTATTACATGGTAGATTTATGGTTATAATAAAATAATCATCATCATATCAGCTATTAACAATCTACTGGTGAACATAGGTCTCCCCTAAAAGAGGAGTTTTACCAGTAGTTGCTACGTTTAGAAGGCGGGTTGGCAACCGCAGTTAAACTTTGGTGATGTATTAAGAGGACGCTGCTACGACGAAAATGATAAAGTAATATGGCCAACAAAATATGAAATAATATCGCTTTTTCAATTTCTTTGGAGGTACCAACGTATTCAAATACTCTCAACTAGAATATAGTAAGTAGATTAACTGATAAATTAAAAAATAAAATATGACCTGTTCCAACATGCCGTAGCTTCTTATAAGGAAGTCACGCTGCGCCAACAAGTTGACCCGTTCTCGTTCTTCCTTCTCCACTATGGGGTCTGGTTCAAACGAGCACAATACATATGCCGGTTTCGCCTCTTGCTCTGGTAGCTGTAAATATTTTTCTTTATAATTTGATATTGTTTAATTAACTAGTCTTCATATAAGTTAGGATACAATGTATTACGAGAAATCAGTAAAAATGTGTCAGTCGTCTGGAGGCACAACCCCAACCCCAAGTTCCGAGCTAATTTAGAAATGTAAGTTTCCTAAATGGGCTCGACCTAGATTCGATCCCGAAAGGTCATTTTCGCAAAGCAAAATACCTCACTGTACCATTGGGATTTCTACAAGCCACGCGGTATCATAATCAATGTAGTACCAAATTTATTTTCTTATATAAAACTATCTGAATTTCTGATAATTTAAATCCTCAGTTGCGTAACACAAAATATTTAAGAAATTTAAATTAAATTATAATTTGATTTGAATAATTCTTACACTGGGTAGCATGGACGAAGATTTAGTGGTAACTTTTTTATCCTTCTCTTCTTTGTCCCTGTCTTTTCGTTTCAGTTCCTTATCAGTACGCATCTTGGGTTTAGCGAATTTTTCTGTTGTCGTAGCAATCGCAGCAGTACCGCCCGTTGTCGTACTCGTATTCTCGCCAAGTTTCTTCTCGTCTTTCGCCTGCTTTGGCTGGGATGGTTTCTTCAAAGCTTCTGCTTTGGCTTTGGTTTGCTAAATACATTATTAGTATATATATATATTGAAATATACAAAATACAAGTTATATAACACTATAAAACTTTAATAGACAAAGTCGTTTTAAAAGGTTGTTTTTTAAATTTATTTTATTTATATTTATATTCTTATCATGTCAATTAAAAAAAAAAAAACATTATGTACTCTTATTTGCCACAAAATTAGTGTTGAACTTGCTATGGCGATATATTATATGAATCATAGTTAATATCCATCACAAAACAATGGGACCGATTCTAAAATTAATCTAATATTTAATTTAATAATATTGCGAAATTTCTGTTTTATGAACAATCATAAACTAAAATTATAATAAATTTGGCTAAAATGAGTTCTTATTGATCCTTACTTCACTATGATGTTAAATTAAATTTTAATTTTAGAAATAAGTTTAGAGAAATAGCACCTCAGATTCGATCCCATTGTACATAAACTTATAGTTGTTAAAGTAACTTTACTAACTTGAAACTCCTCTCGTTGTATGCGAGTACAATCACCGCGAGCTCGCGAAGATGCCGTGCCCGTGTACAGTGATCCTGAAGGTTGCTGGAATAGTGATGCATATTGCTCACCCACTGGATATACACGCCTGTACAAAATAAGAATAGGAATTATATTCTATTTTGCTCACATTATTTTATGTACAATCCATTTATTATTGCACAACATATTAAGGTTTAATAATAAATTCGAGAAATGATCCTTCCAGCCGGATTTGAACTGACCACCGGACTTGAATAGAGCAGGATCATTGTAGAAACGCGTAGATAGAATAATGAGTTTAGTTATCATATATGCAGTAGTTTTCGATAATACTATCGAATAACAAGATAGATAGGTTTAAATATAATTGGTGAAATTAAAGTAATTAAATGATAATAATATCATAGAGAAAATTAATCAACGTTCCTCACATTGATCGCTTCGTAAGTTTGCACTAGTTTTATTGATTAAATTAACGATTTCATTTTGTCGAAGATTGACGCGCGGGTAACTGAACGACGACGAGCAAGTGTATTCCGCGGTGGACCATCGACCGAATGACTGATATTCCGAGTAGTGTAATCGGTAGAAGTAAATAGAGTCTATAATTTAATGCATCGGTATTCAATCGTAAAATATTGGCGACCAAGCCTAATAAAGTGTGTGTTTAGACTTTCGATTAATAATTCAGTTAACCTGAAGTTGCCAAGATGAGTTTCCTCCCATTGTATTTGTGTTTGCCATGGACTTTTTTCAGGCTCCTTTTCTTCTGTTGGAGTGAATTCTGAAAACCTAATAAAACAAAATTAACCTAAATACATGAAAAAATATATAGCCACTAATCATAAAAAATTTAACACCTTTTTAATATGACTACCAAGAATGTGATTTATAGGCATTTTACCTAACATTCTAAGCTTCAAATGAATTTGCCTAAAAAGAACGAAATGAGACTGCTATAGATTAAAATAACTAGTGACTGCATGGCATTTATAAAAAAAAAAAAAATTTTTTTATAAATGTCATACAGTCACATGGTCTTTAAGTTAGGATACTGTTTGTTAAGGGGAAAGAAACGAATGTCAGGGGACACAGTCTAGAGAACACAGAAAATTAACTTTTCCAATTAACATCTGAAATCATATTCCTTAAAGCAATGTACCTATCCAGGCCATGGTGGTATTTAAATTAATAACGCACTTGTTAGTTTGTAGCAACCTATCTCGTATCCTCTTGCGGTCCTCTTCTAGTACTCTCTTCTTGTCGCACTGCCAAATGTTTAGCATAGTAAAGGTGTCCGTTAATAAGGCTTCTTTCACTTCGCGGTCTAGTTGCGTGTCGGTGTGAAAACTCGGTGAGTGGTTTACCTAAACAAATATAACACGAAATATGAGGATAATTAATTCATTATTATAATCTTTTCATTGTTACGGTTCGGTTACTCACACTAGGTAGATGTATCCTGTATATGGTTTTTTTTTTTTATTTCATAAAAATTTTTGTTTCGTTGTATAAAATATAAATAAAAATTAATACCTTGAAAATTTTATATTCGATATGAATGTTTTGCTTTATAATTATTTTACTATTTATTTAAAATACACACTAAATGACAAATCAACAACAAAATTAAATGCAAATTTCTGTATATTAATTGGCCTCTAATGCATAATAGAAACTATATATAAGTTTTGTTATTATGAAAGTAATTAAAGATTTTTACACAACCAAATTTAAAAACTAATTTTATGATATTTTATATGCGTATAAGTAGATGAGAAAGGGCCTTAATCTAATGTATAATACTAAATTAATGTAAGTTTGCCTCCTACCCCTAAATTTATTTTAACGAAGTCTTCTCACATTGCATTATTTATTTATTTATTTATTATATTTCTCACCACAAACAATTAAGGACTTAACATCTATAACTTGCAAAACATTTTAACAATATTATTTGTGGGAGCTGGTGCCTGTACTAGGTATTAAACCTGTATTACAAGTCACCAGGACCCTTACCTCGAACAGTACAAATTATACAAATAAAAACTTTCACAAAAAAAAAAAAAAAAGGTGATGGTGAGTACATAAAAAATTCAGATACAGCGCGTATACAAAATAAATAGCTTTCGATATGTATAACATTAAAACAAAAACAAATTATATGCTAGGGTAAATAAGAATGCATTAAAATATAAGTAAAAAAGTGTGACACGAGTTTATGTTATAGAGTGTATGTTATGTATGTGTATTTGTATCTGAACGTGTGACTATATATGAGTTTGTTCGGTGTGTGAGTCAATGTATGTATATGTGTATGTGCGCATGTGTGATTGTGTGCGTGTGCGTGTATGTAAGTGGTTTTATATTCATATATCTTAGATTATCTGTTTTAAAAGATCTTCTGTTTTATCGTAATTTTGTTTTTGGAGCCAATTTTTAACTGAAGTTTTGCACTTGTAATAAGTTAGAGCATATATAGAAATTACATTATGCAATTTATTATACAGAAAGGGGGCAAGATAAGAGAAAAATCTTTGGCAGAAGGATTTCTTACAAACAGTACTTTTAATTACAAGATGATTACGCTTTATCATAAAAGGATCGAAATTAGTCAGTTTGTGTTGCTTCAAAACTACTGATAGAATAAATAATTGTCTAACAGTAAGAACATTTGAGATTTTATACAATTCTTTTGTGGGATATAATAGTGTTTTGTGCGCGTTCAATTTTTATGAAGTGCGATTTGGTAGCACCACCCCAAATAGAGATGCCATAGTTCAAAATGGATTGACATAATGTAAAATAAACCAACCGGATTATGTGTGTATCAGCAGAAAGACGCAATTGTTTAAATATATAGATAAGTTTACGTAATCTAGTAGATAAGATTTCAATATAAGGTTTAAAAGATAGATTTTGATCTAAGGTTATACCAAGATATCTAATTGAACTCGTGCTATCCAAGCAAAATACCCTGGGAACCAAAGAAGACCCGTCATACCCCTCGTTGAAAACAATTTTATATTTATTTGGTGGTGGTTGAGTAGAATTACGTATTGTAAAAGTCATGAATTTAGTTTTATTAAGGTTAAGAGTTAACAAATTATCATTAAGCCACCCACAAACACAGTTAAATCCTTTCTGAGCTTTCTCAAAGGCAGCGGACCAGTTATTAGATCTAAACACTAATACAGTATCATCTGCATAAGATAAAATTCTACCATATTCGAGTTCTAGGTCACACAAATTATTAATGTAAATCAAAAATAAACTTGGACCCACTATGCTCCCCTGAGGAACTCCATAAGTGACAGGTTGGTAGGAACTAGTAAGAGTGCCAATTTTTACACATTGAGAACGACCTATAAGGTAGGATCTAAATAAGGATAGTTGCGCATCCCGTATACCAATATTTTTGAGTTTATCAACTAATAAAGGTATCGAAACGGTATCAAATGCTTTAGCCAAATCAAGGTATATTGCTAAACATTTTTTATTATCGTCAAGACCTGCAACCACATAATCAACCAATTCATGAATGGCATCACTGGAAGAAACATTTTTTCTGAAACCAAATTGGTTCGGAGATAAGATATTCTTAGACACAAGATAACTTGTTAATCTATAATTTATAATACGTTCTAAAATTTTGGACATGGAACTAAGTATCGAAATTGGTCTATAATTATTTACACAACTACGATCTCCCGTTTTATGTATTGGATGAACAATAGCTTTTTTGAAAACGTCGGGAAATATACCGGATTTTAAGCTGAGGTTGCAAATATGAGTAAGCGGTGAAATGATAATATCTTTATATTTTTTTAGTAGTCCTACAGAAATACCATCCCATCCAGTTGCACAGTTATTACGAAGAGAGTCAATGAGTCGAGCCACCTCAAGCTCATCAGTTTCAACCAGTACAAAGGAATCTAGGGTAGCCGATTCATGTCTATTTCTATTTGCTTTACTTGAAGTGCAAGATGTTTCTGCTAATTTCTTTCCAGTGTTAGCAAAGAATTGGTTAATATTATCTATGCTCTCTTGAGGATTGTTTTGAGAGCAAAGTAGGTCAGTTGCTATAGAATTGGTTTTATTGATATTGACGATATTTTTCATGACATTCCATACTTGCTTGACGTTGTTTCCAGCCTTCCGAAGCTCTTGTTTTTCATATAATATTTTAGCCTTTTTTATATTTATATAATATATACAAATATATTAAACGACGTCATGAAAGATAACTCACCTCTAATATATAGGGTTGCAACTTATGATCAAGCAGTATATCGAAACCGAGTATTTCGAAGCATGCGTGAACCTAAAATAACATTGCAAATTAGTATAAATTAAAAATATTTTCTGTATTATGAAGACTGCAAGATTTTGATTGATGCGTAAGCAGTATCACCTTATCGTGATGATATTGGTATCGCCCTAAGCAGTCGAAGCAATTCGGACTGCGAATTAAGAGCATTGGCGTTGTTATAGAAGCAAGCAAATTTTTGTATAAAGTGAAAAATAATATATAATAAATGATTATAATCATTTATCATTATGATTAAGGAAATAAAATTTATTTAAAGTAGGTACTATATAGGTAATAAACATCAGTCATTAGTTCCTAATACTATAATTATGACGGAAAGAGATTATTAGTAATGGGGTCTAATTGACCCATTGCTAGCAATACACCAGTATTGCCATTATCAGGTCGACTTCCACGCGGTTCCCCTGGAAACCGTCGTGGTTAATTCTAGTGAAATTCATCACGATGGGCTATCTGACCAGCCTTTTCATTCTAACTGGTCATCCCTCACTGGTGCCCCACCAACGTATTCCGATTGTGCAGGCGGGGTTACCATTTCATTATCACTCATTAAAAAAAAAATTATAATTATAAGAAAAAAACAGTTTAGAATAAACATGTATGTAATTTACAGAGGTAAAATAATTTTTAATTTACTAAATGATACCTGTGACTTCACCTGCGAAATTGACATGTTGTCACTATGTGTCTTATGTAAAAGAATTATATTTCCAACGCAGAGAAACAGTAATTAACAGAAAAAAAATATAGAAAAAATATATTAGATAATAATTGAAGCTCAAAAAGTATAAAATTGCATAAATAAATAAGTAAAACCCTAAATATTTAGATACAAATTTAAATAGTATTAATATCAAAACAGACTATATCGAGTACTATTTAATTAATAATTAAAAATGAAATGGATCCAACAATTATCAACATTTTTAATAATAAAATACACATGTGTCTATAATAGCTACTATGTTTAAACTACACAATACGTTTCGTAAATATAACAATGTAAGCAAACCGATAATAGGAAACTTTTTTAATGTATTTAGGTGGCGACTATGTATCAATACTTTCAAAGAGTCAGTGATGAACTGGTAAGGTTAAAAGTTAAGGAACAAAAAAACTATTATTTGAAATTTCAAGGAAGTAAAAGGGCCACATATTAAAAAAATATCGATGTTTCATATTGTATTTTAAATTTGTTTTGTTAGAATACAAAGCAAAATTGCAATAAAAGATGTTTAAATTCAAATACTGTTTGGATTCACATTTTTAAAATAATAGTGTAAATTGACTGGGCTCCGGCTTGACATAATCCTGAAACGTTCTTTATTTATCATAGCAAGAATCTAATTATTTCTAAAGGTAACAAATATTTTACTAAAACTTAATTTAGTGGACTCTCAATTCATTATCAGCAATATATATATACAGAAATATTATAAAATCTACATTTTAAAATACAAAGCCAGCTCACAAAACTACTTCATTATACCATAATTGTATAGTAAGTAATCAACTATGAAGCAGAAGATATGTTTTAATTGTTAGAGGTAAAAAGAACCATATCGTGCGAGGGGAAACACGCATGGTAACTATGTTTCAGTATCGGCCATGCGGATATGATAGTCTTCACAATCACTTGGTCGATCCCGTGCCACAGCCGGTCGAGGTCAACCCCTTGCGACAGCAGGATCTTGTTCAGCGTCGATATCTTTCTGACCCACATAAATCGATATATTTAACTAATTATTTAATAGTTTATCAAACTTGGATATATATTGTTAACCATGTGGTAAACAAACTTTCGACCCGTCTTTACCGTAAGTTACCGCTACGGAAACACAATGTTGAATATGTATTTTTAATTATGTTTGTACTTATGTAGATATCTGCATTTATGTATGAATATTGTAATTCTTCCCAATCAGATGTTTGATCCCTTCATATTAAACAAAGACTAATTAGCACTTCAAATGAAAAATAAGGTATTTTAAAATTAAAAAAATTAACTGGATTTAATTAGCAGCTATAACTGAATGGCCCTTACCGTTTGCTGCCAGCTTCAGAATCGTATACGTACGTACGACTATGCTTGTTTAGTGCGTAGTTAGTTAAATGCATGAACACGTTGGTTGTGTTATTTACATTGGGATCCGCATATCTGCTTGTAGCAAATCTGAATACAACAGATATAAAATTCGTTAAATATGCTCTTGACTTTAACACTGGTAATAGTGACAGATTACTTAAGAGTACATCCCAATAATGGGGTTTAATGGACCCGTTGCTAGTAATATACTGTCACGTCAAATTCAACACTGTTCCTCCTATAAACTATCATGGTTCTTTCCTGGTGAATTCATCAGGACTTACTTCGTCCTCACCTATCATCTCTCATTGGTAACATACCAACCTACATCGATAGCGTAGGTGGTGTTATCATTCCAATTTTATTAAAAAAAAAGCTACGTATTTCCCGGATACAAATGGTGAACATTTTGTCCACAACATAATAATATGCCCCTTTTTCGCCGTAAACAACATTATTCATGCCCTCCATGATGTTTGTCTATACAAACGTGTATTTATAAATGGAAAACAATCCATTCCTTTTCCAAATAATATATTTATTAAACGTTAATATACCTAGATAGTTTAAATGGTGGACTTAACACCATATGGCGTTATCTACCATAAGCTAATAAATAGAAAAACAAAAACAATATTAAAATATAACAATAATTTTAAAATAACATACATATCATACTCATATTATCTACATTATACATACACATATATAATAAAGTGGGATGAAAAACTACTCGAATGCAAAAAGATAATACCAGCATCATACAAAGCAAGACTTATAAAACATATTAAGATTCTAGGGATTAATCAGAACATAGTTTATTTTTAGATGCCAATTTATTTGGGGTACATTTAATGCCAAAGGCGTTCCAGTGCTTGACCGTATGGTCCCGGCATAGAATAGGCTACCCTTTACTTTCCCGTTGGTATCATAAGAACCGACAAAGGGAGGGCAAGTGAAGGGCAGCAGCGTCCCTTTTAAAACATCTCTAAAGCCTGACTGCAGTTGCCAATCCACCAACCAAGCGTGGCAACTACTGGCAAAACCCCCCAAGGGGGAGGCTCATGTTTAGCAGTAGACAATTAAAGGCTGATATAATGATGATAACGATTTCAGTGCTTGATAGCCGAATGACGAAAGAATTAGATAAAAAGCCAGAGTAGTGGACATGATAGGAACATGGAGCAGAAGTTTTTTATGAAATCGAAGAAAGCAGTTACCGAGGTTTCCGTGAAATATAATTTAGACTTAAGGTATTCAGGCAAGTTTGGATCAAATAGAATAGAGAGTACAGTGCAGACGAACATTTCTACATTGTCTAAAGAGCACATATAGTTACAATTTAAGATTGGTGTAGTGTCATAATAAAAAAAAATGTTACCTTACAAGGCCTTCATTATAAACAAATATCCTAAGAGGATCACATGATGTTATTAGAGTGTAGACTCTGATATCGAACTTGTATCCATCAACTAAGTATGGTTTGGACAGGTAGACCTGGAAGAAATAGATTAGCAATTAAGACTTAAATAACAAGCAGGTATGGATTTCTATGTTACAAATTCTGTAAAATATAAATCTGTACATATTGCATTACTTCAATGTTAGTAGATTTTGACGTAGTTGACTTAATGCCAAAAAGGAAATAATAATAAGTGCAAATAGTATTTTTTGGGCCTTGCGTTGTATTCTACAAAATAAAAATGCTTCTTTATAGTGCAGTGGCGTAACTAATGGACTGTAGACCTCGCGCTGGGGGAAGGGACCCCCGAGTTTTTGGTCCTTCATTACTTATTATTATTTGGGCGGTAGGGGATGTTAGTTTACAGCTTTGCCACTGTTATAGTGATAACTGTAATTATCGGATATTGATAACATAATAGTTCGTACATTCGTCGATTACAGGCTGAGAATAAAATATTTATATGAATTTATAGATATAAAGTTATACGAATATTTTTATCAAATTTTATTATAAATTAGAATTTTGTAAAATCGATCTCGATCTTGACAATAACTAAGGTCATTTAAGTTAAAGATTCTTATGTTCATCTTTATAGGCGATGGTTACTTATCGCTTACTATCGATCAGGTGCACCATTTTCCATTTCAAGTTGTATCAAAATGGGTTCAGATTTGGAGAATATATCGAGATATCCAAAAACGATAGTTTGTTTTTTAAATTTATTGAATAGTTAATAGTTTGTTTCTAAGTCCTTAGCCTAGCAAAAACTTAAGACCATTTCCTCTGCAACTCTATTAAATGAAATTACCTGGCAAATAAGCTTATCGGTAGGTTTAATTTCTTTGAGTGATTTGGTTAGATAAATACCACGACCCTGACTCCCACATTCCGGCTTGATTATAAAGGTCTTGTTCTTGCGAGATTTACTATAGTTTAGTGCTTCACCAAAACTAAAATTTACATTAAAATATCTGAGTACAAGATTATACTTTATTAGGTGTTAATATTTTTACAATTATAATAAAACATATTAGGAAAATTACTGAGTTGTGTTTATAATATATGCACTTTGACGTATAACTTAAAAATTCAATATGTTTCAAAGTATAAGACATGATATGAGTGGGGGATATTGGTTGATATATAAAATAAAGGAAATAGTAACACTGTTAAAAGCGGAGGGTATAAAATAATACTTGTCAAATGTTCTAATACTGTGATACTTACGTAGGCAGAAAAGTTTTCGGAAAAAAATTTTATTTTTAGGGTAATTTTTTCAATTTTATTTCGTGCTTCAACAAATCCTTCCTGTTAGACATAAGTAAAACTTGTGCCAAGGATTCCACTGTATAACAATGCAATATTGAAAGTTTGTTGATGTTTTCATTGTCACGCGATGCAGAAACTAACATGTTTGTTAATTAAACTTTGAGCGTTTTGCATGTAATAAGTAATAGAGGAACGTTAAGTTTCGTGACCTCAAGTAGAAAATTTGGTTTTTGGCGTTAATTACATGAAGAAGTTTTAAACCTTATTCTACTAATTTTATACTAGATATGGTAGTTTATAAAGATGTTTGAATATTACTCAATTACATTGAATGCGATTTTTTTCATAAAACTCACGGACAACAAGAGTGATATTTTGTGCAGATTTCTAGCATGGGCGGAAAATGGTTGATGGTGAAAACCTCTTCATCGCTCTCTCTCGAAACACTCATATCGCCAATAAAAATTCTGGACGAACTCGTGCCACACGAGCTTTGACTTTCCTTATTGACTCATCGGCAATTTGTTAGACATATTGATATCTGTGACCTGGAAATTAAATACATATTATATTTATAGATGGTACAATATAAAATCAAATACATATTTGTCCAATGCTCCCTCTCTGTTATCTGTTTTATAGCCATTTTTGCAATGTCTATTACCTTGATTCATTTTATTGATGGGTGAATATCCCCATAAACTGTTCTGAGATCGTCAAAAATTTCACGGCAACAATGACAAATGAGAGAGAATGAATGCGACGCGTTGCTCATCATGCAAATCTATACTAACGATTCCTTTTCGTTGATGCAGCATTAGGCATATAGACATGGTTATTGAGGTCAGACCAGAACTGAAGCATTGTTAGGATAAATAAAACATAAGCACTAGGGTATCTGTAAAAGCTCAATTCTATCATACCTCTTTCTTTTCTTTTTCTTACGCGTGGCTTCGATTGAAATAATCGGAGCAGTACGTGAAGTAGGCTGGGAAGTGTCATCTTCATCGTAAGTTTTCGGAAAAAAATTATATTCTTTAGGGTATATTTTTTGCATTCTATTTAGATTTCGTGCCAACAAATCCTTCCTGTTAGGTTTAAAGTAAAACTTTATTAGTAGGATTACTTATAACAATGCAATATTAACAGACTTTGTAGATGTTTTACATTGTCACGCGATGCAGAAACTAACATGTTTGTTAATTAAACTTTGAGCGTTTTGCATGTAATAAGTAATAGAGGAACGTTAAGTTTCGTGACCTCAAGCTAGAAAATATACCGTGTTAGTTGGCGTTAATTATGCCGATTATGAAATGTAATTCTAGTTTTAAACCTTATTCTACTAATTTTATACTAGATATGGTAGTTTATAAAGATGTTTGAATATTACTCAATTACATTGAATGCGATTTGTAATTTCATATCCTTAAGCCTTGGGATTCTAGTTAGAAGCACTCAGCCAGTGATCAGTTTTTATTAATATTTTACCTGCAGATTTCTAGCATGCCCGGAAAATGGTTGATGCGTTGAAACCTCTTCATCTCTTTGGCTCTCTCTACTGAAACACTCATATCGGTCCAATAAAAATTCCACGCATCCTCCTCGGATAGTCCTCGCTGAAAATGCCAAAGGCTGTTTTGCTACTTTCCTTATTGACTCATGTTTTTATATATTGTTAAATTTATATTGATATCTGTTTTGCATTACCTTGGAAATTAAATACATATTATATTTATAGATGGTACAATATAAAATCAAATACATATTTAGTTTACCAATGCTCAGTTCTAATAAGTTATCTGTTACAAGTTATATACTGCATTTTTGCAATGTCTATTACCTTGATGTGGCATTTTATTGATGGGTGAATATGTAATGGTAAACCCGCCTGCACTATCAGTCAACGCTTGCAGGGCAACAATGACAAATGATAGATGAGAATGAATGCAGATCAGTTGACCCATCATGCAAATCTATACTAACAATTCCTTTTCCTCCTGATGCAGCATTAGGCATATAGAAATGGTTATTGAGGCCTAGTGTTTGTACTGTGATATGTATAGGATAAATAAAAAATAAGCACTAGGTTTAGATATCTGTAAAATACCTGATAAAAACAAATTGATGACAGAAAGATATCAATTCTATCAGATTTACTAAATGGAACCGACTGGTGACTAAATATTTTTCATTTTTCTTTTTCTTACGCAAATTTTTGGCTTCGAAATATTGTTCACCAATATAAAATAATGGAGCAGTAAGTTCTGATCCACGTAGGTTTTAGCGAGAATTAGGCAAAAGAGATGGGAACTTTCATGTCATCTTCATCGTACAGTTTTGAATCATAATTACGCATCAACATCGATGCTATGTTTTCTGCTTGTTCCTTTTCCTGTCTAGCCTGTTGCTCATCGGTTTTTTCGTCTACAAGTATACCTACAAAAGTTCACTTAATCAAATAAACTATCATAAATATAAATATACTTCCTTACAGAGAAATACCCATAAAGAAGTTGTAAATATATACATATATAGTTAGCGTGGAGGTCAAGCTGATAGTTTACGCCTGATTTGAGAAGTGATGTTTCGGCAATTTCTCACAGCAACAAAGACGAAAGATACTATTTTTTTTTATTATCCAGAGTAGTAAAATTTATTTGTTTTGCTGGACACTTTGTTTGCATGGATTTTAGAAGTAAAAAAAATATTAATATGGACCACTTCCAGATCCAGATGGCATATCAAGATAAAACATTCATTATATTAGCAAGATAATATTAACCATTGCTTTGTGCGTTCTCATTTTTTCTTTTACTTGAAATTGAAAAAATATATTTTGGACTATGAAGTGACTGCTGATTCTCGCCATGCAAGAAAGTGTCTTGTAACTCCACCTAAATATTAAATAAATTTACAAGAATATATGTTTTAAATTACAGAATTTAATAATAGGTATAAAATTGCATCAAATCTATAATCTTTAACATGCATTACTAAATCATCAGATGCATAATGCATCAGAAAACTTATTAACTTTAGGTATCATTTGCATCAGAGAGATGTATATGATATGAGACAACTGTACAAAAAAAAAGTTACTCTAAGGCTTTCACACTGACTGTACTGTCACAAACTGTGGTAGTACTTCATAACAAGGTAACTATAGTTCTAACACTGAATGACTTACACATTTCTACTAATAAAATTACATGACCAAATATTACCAACTGGTTGTTTCAATATTATGAGATCATTATATGATTATTAATTTATTTATTACTAGCTTTAACCTGCAACTTCATCTAAGTGACCAAAATATATTTACTGACTAGGAGAAAAGGTAGCCTATAACAGTCGCCATCTACCAAAATTCATCATAATCGACTCAGCAGTTTAGACATGAAAGTGTAACAAAAAAGCTCACTTTCACATTTATAATATTAGTTATTAAGTTTTATTTAATTTTTGGATAATTAATTTTTTATAGTAATTCATATTAACAGCACTCAAGTACCTTCTGCTGGATATAAGCCTCTTCATAGCCTGCTGTCATCACATAGACCAGGTGATTACTTATTACTGGTAGAGACATATTTTTAAATTTCACTTTACATTATTTTACTGATGTAAAGTTAATCACAATCAACTAGATTTTGTTGATTTCCTAAATAATATTTTCTTATTTTTTTTTTTCATGCATGATCATTATACCATACCATAATGTTTGGAGTATAGAGGGAAAACTGTATATTTTTTATAAATGACAATAAAATAGTAACATTGTCTGCACCCTTGGTTTTTTGCATGACATAGCACCATAGAGGGATGACTAGTGAGAATGAAAGCAGGTTAGATGGCCCATTATGACAATATCATCAAGAATTAACTAGGATGGTTTCCAGGGGCAACCGTGTGAAAGTCGACCTGATAGGGCCTAATGCTAATAATCGGGTCTCTAGTCCCCAATACTAACAATCCCTTCTCTTCCAACTTTGCATATAAGATAGTATCAAAACCGGAAGGGAGGGATTGTTAATAATGCGGACTATCAATCCCATTGCTAGCAATAATAACCTGTCAGATCAACCTCTACATGAGCCTTCCTGGAAGAAACTATTGTGTTGAACTTCAGGTGTATTCATTACGATAAGTAAACTGACCTCCCTTTTCATTCTCACATATCATCCTTCATTGCCAGCATATACTGTTAGCAGAGGCGGAACCACCACTCCATTATCCATTAAAAAAACAAGTATCAAAAACAGAGAAATCACAATTATACCTCCATTTGCAGATTCGAAGTCAAAGTTTTAACCAAAAGCTAAAGGTATGTGCTAGACATTTCCGCTAGTCACTGTATAAAAGTCAAAACGGTGGTCTAAAACACAATAAAATAGTGCTGGAAAAGATTTTTTTTTATAAAATACCAACATATTTTCATTTTTACATAAATACATATAAAGTAAATAAAACTTACCAAACTTTATTATTTGTAATTTCATTAAAATTTTGTGAAAGACATTATTGAAAAACTGTTTTTTGTTTTTATTTTATGTCAATCGTCAAGTCAAAATAAACTGACATTATTATACGTACATCCACTTCCGGAAAAACTTCTTTGAGAAAACCGGAAATGATTTAATAAAAGTTTTATTTTCCGATGATAAGAAGACGTTTAGAAATTATTTAGTTATTAATATAACTAACTGAATTAAATGACAATTCATCCAATTATTTTTATAATATATTAATGATATAGTAGGTACCTAATGCATACCACAATATGTACCTAAATACATTACATAAAAAATCACGTGTTTGAAAATAAAATATTATTTTGCTGAACGCATTGTCTGTGCTGTCATGTTACAGATAGAGTAAATTGCCCCCCCCCCCCCTCGCTCCTCACCTTATTCAGGACCGTAAACGGTTCAGTTATATAGCTTTAAGACAGAAAAAGAGATATTCTGTTATCTTTTTTACAAGAGGCAATAGATCTAAGAATAAGAAATCACATAGAAGGAACGATAAAATTGCCGACTGTATAACCCTAAATTCAGATATAATCTGCTTGCGTACTTTATACATAAAGTGTGTCAAATATATACTCTAGTAATGTAAAGCTTGTCATTAACAAATAATTGACATATAATCTGACCAGCGAGTTGTATTCCTCCAGAACTGCAGGAAATTTTAAAAAATATGTGATGGTAATACTAAAAAGACTGCGATATACTTTTTTGATACTTGTAAAACATTCTCAAAGAAATATATTTATTTCTTATAGTTATCTATATCTTTATCCCGTTAACTAAAAACTACATGAAATAAAAAAGGCAATAAAAACATGTAATTATTTAAAAATAATATATTTAAGCAGATTAATAATCAAAATCAGAGTCAAGAAATTCAATGCATAAATCGTCATAATCACTATCATTACTTTGAGTAACACACAGACCTTTGTTGACAGCACCCTCTTTTTTATTCTTTTTAAAGTTCTTACAGATACTTCTGGAAAATAAGAATGTCATTGTCCTTGTAATATTGAATGTAACAAAAATTGTTTATCATAAATATTTGTTTTGTAATAGTTAATATGTAGACACCTGTCATATTGGAGATTCTTTCCAGATATACTTTTTCATGGTGGATTAAATCATCATTATCAATCCTTTTGAGATCTTGAATTAAATCTTTAATATTTTATTTAGGTTCGTATAAACCATCTGGAAACAAATAAATGGAATGCATGTAAAATCGTCTAAAAACCGTTTTATTTCACACGTAAATATTTTTAGGACCGCTAAAAAGCCCGTAAAGTATCAAAATCTTTAGAGTGTCATACCTGCTAACGAAACAATTTCTTCGAAAATTCGTTGCTTTTCTACAAATACTTGTCCAATTCACTTTTTAACTGATCATAATTCTTAATCATGGTAAATGACATGCCATGAATACTACTTTTAATAGGTTTAGCCATTTTAAATCCAAAATTAGGAAGAAAAATAAGGGATAATATATAAAAAAGGAATCAGTGACACTTAGATTGATTAATAATGTTACCAACATGAAAGTTTTCAAAAATAATGAGTGACACGATTCACTGTCCAAACTATATCAAATATTTCTAAACTATGAATTGAGAAAAATTACAACTGATCGTGTATCTTTCGTCTTCTTTTTACTTATTATATTTGCATAAGAAAAAGGATGCAACCATATAATTTTCAGTTTTTATTTTATCATTCCTTCTATGTAATTCCTTATTCTTAGCAATAGATATGATCTACTTGAACGATAGTACATCCTTAAACGTCTATGGGACTCATTAGCTTTCATTCGTTGTCGTGCCACAGATAATTTTTTTATTGTTTTGGATTGGTAGCATTGCAACATTCCAAAGCCAGCCGTCAAACCGTCAACGCAAGTCATCCGTCAAATTCTATAGTGCTTGTAGATATTTTTGCTTTTCCGCCAAAGTACAGAGTCATTCTAGATTTGCCAAAATGGCAGAGGGCCAAGAAGAACCTAAAAAAATTACGATTACAGTGAAAACTCCAAAAGAAAAACAACAAGTGGAGATAGAAGAGGATGCAGACATAAAAAAAGTGAGTACTCTCCTGGCCGAAACATTGCCCATGGCGTAATAACACAGATATTGGACACGCAATCAGTGACGACATTTGTTTAATGAATCGGCAATGTAATCTAAAATTACATTACGTGCTTTCAGTTAAAAGATGTATTGTCACCAAAATTCAATGCCGAACCGGAACAACTATGTCTCATCTTTGCCGGAAAGATAATGAACGATGCTGACACTTTGAAGCAGCACAATATCAAGGATGGTTTGACAGTTCATCTTGTGATCAAGACGCCTCCAAGGCCTGAGCCAGAAGGTGCTGCTCGCCGTCCACCAGGTAGATGCCTATACTAGTTCTAAGACGTCAGTTGTTAACACGTACATTGAGTGAGTGGAGTTCTTAGTGTGGTAGTTGTATACTACATTTACATACATACCACATTACATGACAATAATAAATGTTTATTTTTTTGTTTTTAATCATAGATTAAATAATCTTTAATTAAATATTTTCAGCTGATATTGGTGCTACACCTTTTGGACTAAATTCATTGGGTGGTCTTGCTGGTCTGGAAAGTTTGGGTCTTGGACAAAGTACATTTATGGATTTACAGGTATGTCAAATTTTAGTAAACTACATTCTTTCTGAAATTGAATTATATTTGTCATTTTAATTGCTAGATTTCATCATTAGTTTGTTTAAGTATATGATGTTAATAACTCTAAAATGTTTACTCACATTTTGTATTAAAAGAAATTAAATTTATTGCGAAGAATGTGGTAAGTTTAGGTAATATTATACATTTTGTGTAACCTTAACATTCAGCCAGCTTGGCATGCAACATTTTTTTATGTATTATTAACAATCAACTATTAATTACAAATTATATTACTAAAGCCACATTGAAGTTCAAGTTATTATTGTCAATTTATACATGCATCTCATTATTTTTTACTAGGTTACATCAGTCATACATTTACAAATATGTAATGTATTATGTATGTATGATAATAAGTAATTTGATTATGATGGAAGTTACTATTTAATTTTTTATATGTAATATAATAAATATTGTTTATTATCAAAACAAAACTATATTTTGTTTCATAATGTTTGATCATTATATAAATTAATATATTTTTGGTTACAGGCTCGAATGCAACAGGAGCTTCTATCAAACCCAGAGATGTTACGGCAAGTCTTAGATAATCCACTCGTGCAGCAGATGATGAATGATCCAGAAAACATGAGGACACTTATCACATCCAATCCACAAATGCAGGATCTCATGGCGGTAAGTAAAATTAAAAATTTATAACCATTAAATTGTAGGAATCCTATGTCAGTCATAAGTAAACCTGGAATTAATGAAAGTACAACTGGATATTATGGATGCAATAGCTTTTTGAAAATATTTTTCTAGTGTTGTCATAGCTCATTTGTTTACTAGTGTCACTTATGTACATCTTAAAACAACAATAACCTATATTTCTTTTTTTTATTATTATATGATAATTTTCTATTTATATGTGTTGGTTTCTATGCTTTATACACCCATAGAAATGAAAAAAGTATTTTAAGTTACTTTTTATCTACTAGTTAAAATTTTATGTGAGAGCAACATCAAATGAGTAAATAATAGAAAAATATTTAGCAAAATACCCACTTTTCTAAATATTATATTAAAAGACAAACAAATCAATTATTTATTTTAATTTAACCTTTAAGATAGATAATTTATACATTTATAAATTTATTACCTATTTAGTAACTAGTAAAGTAAAATTTGCAAGCGAAATTGTATTTTATTTATCAATCTTAAAGTACTTTTTAAAATCTGTCCATTACAAACCTAAATGTTCAATTAATTAAGCAGTTTTTTATTAGTCACCACAAAATAATTTATAGTCAAGATCTGTTCTTTATATTCCACTATCTTTTACTTACGACTTTGTGACTGATATGTTCAGGATAAAAATTTGTTAAAAAGGAGATATCTTTCCACCTTGTATAGCATCTATATACTAATACATTTCATAGTGATTGATTAAGTCAATAAATCACCAATGTTGGTCAGCTAACAAACAAACTTACGTTTGTAATATTAAAAGGGATTTACTTTTCCATATATGTAATTATATATGTATATTTTATTAGAATAAGGTAACAGAAAAAATATTGAGATGGTTCTTAATGTGGTACATTAGATTGACACTTGACTGGTATTATGTATATCTATTGACAGAGAAATCCAGAAATTAGTCATATGCTAAACAACCCAGAGCTGTTGCGTCAGACTATGGAATTAGCACGTAATCCTGCCATGCTGCAAGAACTTATGCGGTCACATGATCGTGCACTGTCCAATCTTGAGAGTATACCTGGTAAATAATATTTTAAAACACTTCACAATTTACATACAAGAATATAAAAGAATCATTAACCTATAATAACAACCTTTTTTCTATTTTTGAATAGGTTTTATTTTATATTATCCTTTTTTAAATTAGCAAAATTTTGTACTTCCAAGAAATTGTATTCCAAGATATTCCATAAATCTTGTCAATACAAGTTTCATTTGTTAGTTTAATTAAACATGAATATTGATTTATATTTAATAAAACAACCAATTTTAATAAAATTAGAATTTTTAAATTATTAAAGACAAAAATAGAATTTTCTAATAAATATGACATGGGAACCTTTGAGAAATATCACCCTTTCACAAAAAATAAATATTAATATATTTGTTTTCAGGTGGTTACAATGCTCTACAGAGAATGTACAGAGACATTCAAGAACCGATGTTGAATGTCGCCAGTAGTATGGCAGGAAATCCTTTTTCAGGACTAGTGGATAATTCAGGTAATACCTACTTTTATGAAATAAACTAGTTGTACCTGTAAGTTCATACATAGTATTCAGAATCAATTTAATTCATAAAAAACATAGTGTCCATACAAAATATTTCTTTTTAAATATGATAATTATATTGGGAGATTACATGATAATAATATAAAATAAATTTAGTAGCCATAAACTGCCAGAAACTTATTCAACAGTCAGTCTTATGATCTTGCTGTTCACTCTCTTAGAATTAAACTATTGTGCATTTTAATATACAGATGGTACAAACCCACAACAAGGGGCAGAAAACCGGCAACCATTGCCGAACCCATGGCAACGTGGGGGCGGGGGCGGAGGAACTGGTACAACGGGGAGTAGCGCCGCGGGCACAGGGCCTGGCCTCATCAACACGCCGGGCATGCAGTCACTGCTGCAGCAGATGTCAGAAAACCCGCGCCTCATGCAGTCCATGTTGTCTGCGCCATACACCAATGACATGCTGCAAGCACTCTCTGCCAATCCGGAAATGGCTGCGCAGCTTATTAATCAAGTTCGTTTTTCTTAGTCGAGTGAATCATTTGTTTGCATATATTTAAAATTCTTGAAAGTAATTTTTCAGGATATAAAAATTTAATATACATTACATATTAAATTTTCATATACATATAAATTTTTTGTATCCTGCAAAAAAACTTTCATGAAGAAAAAGACAAAAGATAAGATTTTAAAAAGGAAAGAATGTGTCTACACGATTTTGAATCACGTTCGTTATATCCTTTGTTATTCCTGTTATAACTCTGTACCTAATAATTTCACTGTCAAAATAATAACCTAAACATAGATTAAATACTTTCTTGAAGTAATTTATCAAAATCTGAAAATAAATATTGAATCGTTCCTACGAATATATATTTAATATTTAAATTAGTGAAAACCATATCTGCCCTGTGCTAAATCTTCTTGTTTTCTTAAAATTTTCATTTGAAAAAAAGGATTTCATCTATAGAGCACAGAAAATCTTATTCTAAAATTTCTATGTTATTAATACTTAAATATTTTGTATACTACAGAATCCAATGTTTGCCAACAATCCCCAACTGCAAGATCAAATTCGTACTATGATGCCACAAATGCTCGCCCAACTACAGAACCCTGAGATGCAGCAAATGATGTCTAACCCACAGGTGATTTATTATTATTTTTATTTATATACATGTTCTGTATATAACATTTATTACGGTGTTGTCATTCTACAAATTAAAAAACCATAAAGCATAACATCTGTGTAGATTCAATTAATAATGTACATTTATTTAAAAACAATGCTGATTTCAATGTATTCTTTGGATATATTTTAAAATGTTTCCTCCGATCACTCATCTCAGAGAAATTATTTCAGTCGGCCTTGTTAAAAAAAAATGGATGCATTAAATACAGTCACAAACAATACAAAATTACTTAATCGGTGACATAAATTCATCAACTGAATAATAGTACTCCTTTAATAAAAAAGTTCTGTGTTTTTTATACTGCTGAGGTAGCAAACAAGCATATGGTCCACCTGATGGTAAGCGGTTACCATAACTTATTTACGCCTGCAATACCAAGGGTATTACGACTGCGTTGCCGACCCTGAAAAAACTTCTTTACCCGCTTTTGACGAACCCCTATGCTATAGTCATTGGAAAAATTTCGACAGATTCGATTTTGACAGATGAGCGAAATTTTTTCGACAATAAATTTCGATCATTCTATAACCTAAGCGTTCGTGGGGGAAAACATCTCTGAAAACGCTTTGTACGTGACCATCTAGGCTCTAGAGTATGAGGGTGATCTCTCTATCGATGGCGAGCTGTAAAATGGCAGAAAGTTTGTGTCTAAATTTATTTTTGTTTAGGTAACTAAACTGATTGATAAAGCGACCTATGTTTCACAATCTCCAGACCAAGCGATAGTCTACTCTCAAAATATTGTCTTTATGTGCTTCCTTTGTATTTTCTCTCATCGTCAGTTTTATATTCACAAACGTGTTTAGCGAAATTTGTTAATGTTATCAAAATATAAAGATAAGACACTGTAAGGAAACCCAATTTTTTTAAATATTTACGACATGATTTGGGTTTCTATATCCGTACGATTGTTCTTATCGCTCTTTTTTAAAACACAAATATTTTATCGATATTGTAGTTGTAGCTTCTATGTATATTATGAAAAAGCTATTTAAGTATGTCTGTCTGTTGTCTAGTGTCCATAGTACAACTGTAGGTAGTTGGAGAGTAGATGGTGCCGTGTAATAATATATCCAACTATTTTTCCATATTGTATAGAAGAATATTTTTATATTTGTTTCCCGCGATTAGGCCCTGAACGCGTTGCTTCAAATACAACAAGGAATGGAGCAGCTGCGCACGGCGGCGCCCAGCCTCGTGAACAACCTGGGGCTGGGCGTGGGCACCGCCACCGCCACGCCGCCCGCCCAGTCCGCACCTCCCACGCAGCCCGCACAAACCCCGCAGAACAATACTCAAGCGCGTCAACAACAGAACTCCGAGCTATTCACGCAGGTTTGTGAATTCTGCCGCTACATTCAGTTTCTATACAAATCTCAAATTTTACAAGTGTTCATTGAAGACTAAATCCTAAATTGTGAATAGGTTTTATATAAAAACATAGCAATGTTTATCTTATAATAACAATATTTACAAAGAAAATAAAAATAATAAATATTTTTATATGAACCTACAGTGGATTAAATCAAGAAACGTTATTTTTATAACCTATTCTGCTAAGTAATATAAAATAATATCTTTTCTATACAGTTTATGCAGCGAATGGTGGCAGCGATGGCGAACAACCAGAACAACTCGTCACAACCACCAGAACAGCGCTACTCTCAACAGCTAGAACAGCTCGCCGCAATGGGTTTCCTAAACCGCGAGGCCAATTTGCAAGGTACAATATACTTAACAGTACAAATTAATATAATACTATTTTACTTTCAAACCGCCACTTCATCTTCATGACGGGGGCAAAGAGTAGCATGTGATGATTGGTCGAGCTTTTGACATAAATAATTATTAGATCATCACTAATATAATAAATGTTAAAATTAATTATAATTATTGGATTTTATAGTATAAGTTTCATATTAATTGCTTGGTCCTTTAACTAGGAATTATGTTATCATGTGTTACAAAACCTGACATTTAATAACTTAGGATACAATTCAAAACGCCTAAAATAGTGACATTTTAAAAATGTCACAAATGAATCTAGGACCATGTGTACATAAAAAAAAAGTATTGTATTATATATACCACTTTGCCACAAAGGTTAACTTATTAATAATTATTAGCTATATAAAGCAGCTAATAGCTTTAGGATTAATATTAAAATTCTTCGTGTTTATAGCGGGTAGTTGCATTGCACCATTTTAAATTTCTTTCTATAAGTTAAAAATTTCCTTTCCAGCACTTATCGCGACCTTCGGCGACGTAAACGCGGCCGTAGAGAGGCTACTGGCTCTGGGCCAACTGTCCATGAGCTAACACTCGCGCACCTCATAACTTGCATCCCCACACCGTGGCTACTACTCGCTTGCGACACCTACCCTGTTCCCTTACATCGACTCTATTCCTGTATAAACAAACATTAATAACTTATTTACATGCAAGGTCAGAACTATTGTCAATGAACAAATGTCTCTATCTGATCTATAACAGTATCCATTTAATAAGACATTCCATATGCCAAATATACAGGGGTGTTACTCATTTTTTTGTTGTTATATAAACGTAGGATTATCAAATGTCATTAAATTTGTCTGATTAAAAAGCATCGATTCATTCTAATGTTGCATGTGTAAAGATAATTTTACGCACGTGCTTATTTAAGCAAACGACTAATTATAAAAAAAAAAAAAAACTTTTAATTAATTTCGCATCAAATAAATACATTTTATTTATTTGATGGGAGTTAAATTATAACTTATGTTCATTTTTTAATGATTACACATATGTAACGGGATTTACTATTTTTGTCGTTTCCGATAATTATTTTGACTTCATCCGGAAATATTCAGAGGACATACAGCGCTTTAACGGAATGAAGGCGCCCGTACAGACTTCTTTATGGATTCTGTGAGCTGTAGCCCTCAGTGCAAGACGAGATGCAGCGACGCAAAACCCCATACGCCTGAAGAAGACTTGCGGCTTATGTCGAAACAATTATCGGAAACTACAAACAGTAAGTTAATAAAATTTCCTGTTATGTATTTATATAAACCAATTAAATGTTAAAGGTCAGATAAGACTTGCCAGAGTTGTTTGTTCTTAAACAATATTGAATATCTCTAAATTAAATGTTCAATTCATTTCTACAAGTAAAATTACGGGTAAGTAACAAATTGAAACTGTGTCCCAAGCCCCAATATTTATGTACAGTCTGACGTTTAGTTCACATTAGTGGCGGAATACTACAGCAGGGGGTTAGAATATCCTATAATCATTATTGTGCAGGATTATACTACGATAAAGCCTTCATTTAATAACATATAGATGATAGATATTGTCACCAGACCTTATAGAAACATAAACATTCTGTTATCAATGCTGTTAGAGGAAAAATATATAGGATTAACATAAGCTTACGGGTGTAGTGGTAGACTAGATACCACCATACTATGTTATTATTTGTAAATTTATGTCAATCCTTTCGGTCCAGTCAAAAATTAGTTCAGACTCCTTCATCAATCGTTATACTATGCGTATTTAACTAGACCTTGCCCAAATGTCTGATGTCCACCGTAGGATGTACTTACATGTGGGAGTACAAATGAGCTGTTTTTTTAACGAGTCTGGCTCCGCTAAACAATAAATACGCCGATAGTATACTATATATTCAGCCATTTAATCATGCTCATAACTGTAGCAAAACTGACAGCAAAACCTATCGTCTTATGATTGTCTAATTATTTATCTAAATCTGTTAATCTTCAGTCCGCCTGTGGTCCACAGATAATTTTTTTTAAAAAAGAATATGCGAGGTTAATTGGTTGCCTTTATTAAGTCACACGCCTTACAAAATTCTTTATCCTCGTCACAATAAGATGGAAATATTATTGTAACTTTTTTTATATTTAAAGTTACAAGACTTGTAACTGAAATATGCTTTTTTATGTACTCAATATATTTCATTATAGCTTATATAATATATTAGAAAAGAAAATCAATAGACAGTATAAACGATGTTAGCAATTAGAATTCTTAAATTAGCATAAATATTATTTAATGTCAACTAAATTAAATAAATTATCAGTACAGTTGCTATAATAACGCAGTTAATTTGCAATTATAAAGTGGGTGAGTAGCCAAACTACAAAAAGAAGTCAGAATTGAAATATGCCAGATATTTTTTTCTGACCATTGTGAACATCGCGTAATTATTAATGCGAGTGTATAAGTCTAACATTTTACAAATAAATTTCATTCCTTCTTGTTTTAGATATGTACTACTATATGAAATTAAAATTTATTTTTTAACTATATTATTATTAAACAAATCGGGCATAAAATTCATCTTGTGTATTTACTACTGTAAAGAATTATATTGATATAATTGTAGGATTATTTTGTTTACAACGTCAACACCATTATAGTTTATCGTTTGCGTAAAACGTAATTAGTGTTCTACGTAATAATGAGAAATGGGCATAAGTGATAAGGTTTTGACCTTATTATGCAAGTGTTTGTACCAACTATGCGATGTGATAATAAATTACGTGTATCTGTCAGGAGCAAACATTATTAAATCACTGACATTCGTTTTGATCCTCTGATCCATATTGTCAACTTCTATATATTTTACTTAAACTCATATTATAAAAAGGGAAAATTTCGGAAAAATTGAGATCAACCCGTGCAAAGCCGGGACGGATCGCTAGTCCAATATATATAGTATAAATTTTTTCACCTTGGTATTTTGAGGATATATTATTCTATTTTTATACTATACAGTAATCTCCCTATAACACGGGTATTCCTCCATATAACGCGGGGAGTGAATATTCTATTAAAAAAATATGTCGGTGCAACGTTATTTCAGATGGCTCCAACAGTAAATAAACATGTAATAAAACTGTTAATTTATTTGAAATTAACTGTTTTTTTAGTTACATACGCATAAGGTTTTTTTATTTAAAATGTTCTTAGTTTGATTTTAATAAAACACATACATATTTCGTTCGTAACATAGTTTTTTCTTAATATTCAATATGAACCCCCTTAACGTGAAAAGTTAAACGTGAATCATTTGTTCATAATGTGTTATACGGGATCGTACAAGCGTGTTATACGAGAATATTTCTACAATGCATTTTTCTATAACGTGGAACGAATCTACCGTGTGATAGGGGGGAATACTGTACTGTGTTATTTGTTCTATAAAATTCTCTCAAACAAAGAGATCATACCTTCTTATGAGTAATGTTTTATTTTTCTTAATAATCATAAAAACTCATAATCTCTTATTAGAGATAAGCTCGCCTTTGTACATTATGTTTATAATGAATTGTAATTACCAGTATGTTTTGTGTACAATAAAGAATAAAGAATTTTGTAATAGATTACAGTATGTAATAGATAAAGAACTAAAATATTAATAATTTTTATGTACAAACACTTGTTTAATAAAACAATATTATAATATTATAATCGATCATTATGTATTTAGTTACGTACATAATAGGTACTTGCGGTTTGCAAAGAAAGACATCATTAAAGAACATGTCTGTCATTAAACCATGTTTAGAGTAGTAATATTTCTTGTATAAAAGGAAGATTATATATTACACCAATTTTCTTTTTTTAATTAATTGTATAGATGAGAGTTCTGTTATGTCAAAACTGATTATTCACATTTAGTATTTGCAGTTAATTATTAAACACGCAAAATTTTAAGCGTTACGCAAACGATTTTAATATAATGTAAATATATTTCATTTGAAAAAAAAATTGTAATTTCTGTTACAGATACGTCTGTAAATGTCGAAAAATGGTGTCCATAACGATTGTATAGTTTATATATAAATAGGCTTGGTTAACTGTATGGGTGCGTCACAAATACGTAAGGGAGCAATTATAAAATTATCAACGTAATGGGACAGATCAGCAGCGCATTTGATAACCTATGTGTATAAGCTGGAAACGAACTTTTACCTTCACATCTATTTTAACGGGTAATATGTATAACAGGAATTTTTTGATGTTTTCGATAATTGTTTCTACTTCATCCTGAAGTCTTCAGGGCGACGTAGCGACTCGCCTCGCACTGCGGGCTGCTGCTCGGATGAGGTCGAAACAATGGTCGTAAACGACTGTATATTCATAAAATTCCCGTTACATATATATAGACATCGCTAAAAAATAAACATGAGTTTTAAAAATATTTTGTTATTATGTTTTGTTTATTATGTTTCACTTTTTCAAATTGAAAGTTAAGTGAAAAAGACAAAAGAATTCATTAAAATAGGTTTGCTATTATATATTAAATTAATTTGACGTTTTTGAAGTGAATAAAGGGGTAAGGATATAAGTCTGGATCTATTGCGAAAAATAAACGATATCAATGTTTATCGTTCATCTTGATGATTAACCTTGAACATAATGTGACATAAGTGTACGTTCAGTACAATATAAGGTCCGGCGAAATAGAAAAAACAAGCCTAATATTATTTTTTTTCTTATTCACATAGTTTTTTTATATCATGCTTTAGGATTGTATAAAAATGTTGAACAAGTGAATAACTGAACATTCGCGACAGTTAGACATACTATTTGGTTCGAATAGCTTGTTATGGTTCAGCGCAGACTAACGGACTGACGGCGAATAAACATATTATTTTGTTATCAGTGAAAGTCAACTTTAGCATAGCAAAAACGACGACACTCGGTACCGATTGGAGGCGTGGCGGCTTTGTGATGCCCACTCGTCTCAACGAGTTTTGCATTCAATAACTTCTCTTTCACGTCAACTCTGTTAAATCTGCGCAGACTCTAATTGCTTACTGATAGAAATGTCCGTCCTCATCATTACTATAATAATTTACCCTTTATTTTATGTAAAATTGTGCCTGAACTAAATTTTATATCAGTGTCATGAAGTTTTCGTGATCAGGGTACTAAATTGTACTACAATAATTGTACTGTTTATGTCATAGAAATATTTAGTTTGATTAGCTATCGTGGTTCACAAACATTGCATGCAACTGACGGGCACTGCTTTTACAATATAATACGAGCAATCACTCGCGATGTGATCCTTACACTTTATTATATGTACCTAAATATGTACTTTTATGTCTTGTCATAAGAAGAATACACTACATTCTGTTCTGTAAGCCTTGTTTACGGAAATCAGAAGCTTAGCACGCTATTTAATCTCTAGGGGCATATTTGACAGTGCATATATGATTTAAGCCATTTGACCATTTATGGTGCCACTTACGAGCCTCTGTATAAACAAACATAATCCTCACGCAGCACAGATTCATCTATATTCGTAAATGAGGCGGTAGAACTATAAACATGTAGCCAAATTTATTCAATTGTGTTACAAATCATATAATAGATAAGAAAGCATACAAATTTTGGGACAACATTGAACATAGAGATGTTACTAGGGTCAATCGCTGTAACATCGGTTCCTCAGTAACGCGCACTTGCATTTTATAATCCTATATCGGTTTTAAGTTGTGGTGGTGAAACTATTTGAATGTATAACTTGTTTGTAGTTTATTGTAGTGGTTTTATAGTGAATTCATTAAATTTAAGTTGTAAAATATCAAGGACTGCTGTTGCTCAGTTTTATAGGAAAGTTTTGTTGATTTTGCCCAGAAATGAAAAAAAAAAAAGAATCACGGTTTATTTATTGATATTTTAATCTTAAAATCTAGTAAAATATATAGCTAACTTATTATATGGAAATCCTTCATGTTAGTTTTTCTATGTTTCCTTTCTCGTTTTATATATTTATATAATTTCAGTTAACTAAAGATTACACGTAATGTTTGTAAAAATGTAAAGCGTGTACTCTGTGATGTATTCTAGACTGCTAGAATTGTCTTAAATCGTATGAATCTGGGTGAAGCATTGATATGTGACCGAATGCAATTATTATAAATAAATATAAATTACATTGTTGTTTTATTTTTAAATACCCACTTTGTGTAGACACCTACTAAATATACTCGAAAAAGGCGAAAATTCAACAGTTAACAGTGCAGTGACTTCACTGAAGTCCTATGTTTTTGATCAACAAATTTATGAGCACTTTTAGTACTGAAAACTCAATAGTAAAATAGTAATTCAAATTTTACGTGGAATTTTATTTGAACCTATTGTTCTATTTTCTTCCTATACCGAGGAAGAGAAATTAGAGAAAACGATTGGAAATTCTCGTTTCTGTATGAAACAAAATCAATAGTGTAAAAATAAAAACTTGTTTATCATATTGATTAGGTAGGTAAGTAGGTACTATTTTAATCTATGTTAGGGCCTAATCATAGGACCTTCGAACCGGATGAATGATTAGAGTCGAATTTGTGCTGCAGTTAAAAGAATAAGTATGGAAATAAGTATAATTGTCGCATCAAATTATACATATAAATAAAATTGGAGTGTTTGTAATATTGGAATAACCGTTTTTTACTACAACAATTTCTGTCTGTCTGTTTGTTCCGCCTAATCTCTGAAATAGCTGGACTGATTTTGACTTTTATTGGCAGGTAGCTGATGTAATAAGGAGTAACTTAGGCTACGTTTATTTTAGAAAAATAGAGTAATGTTGCAATGTCCAAGTACTGTCCAGTACCGCGCGCAGCTCACGCGCATGCCACTATTGGGCCGAGTGCCTTCCACTACTTCTCCCACCAACGAATTTGGAATAAGTAAAAATAAAATTAAGTAGGTATAATATATAAAAAAAAATTAAAGAATCGATTGTTAGGCGGAACGAAATTCGCCGGGTCAGCTAGTTTATAATAAAATAGAACGGCTGGTGCCTAAAATACTGAAAAAGCGAGTAAAGTCGTCGGGGTGAGCGATAGTCCTCATTACTATACCTGGTGTTGAGGTTTTATTTAAGTTATTTTTAAAAATAGAACTTATTCATTTTTCTTGTTATGTCAATGAGTATTTTGTTTATTTAACGTCATTCAACGTCGTTCTCTAACGTCATTATTTTTAAAAACATCTATTATTGTACTAGGGAACAATATATCTTTATTCAGTATCTTATATTTTTTATTGTTTTATTCAACGAACCCTTTACACCTGGTGTTATGTTATGTATCCTAATTAATACCAAAAAGTGTTACGTATTATTCTGCGTCAGGTCAGCTGCAAGTTCCTGCAGTTATTCTTATACATCAATGTTCCCGCCCCGATTACTACTTTTAATGTATTAACAAATTATTCAATTGTTATAAATTTAAGTATATATATACTACTTATTACAGTTTATTTTTTACTGGTCATGCGTATGAAGTCGCGACTTTTATTAGTACTTCAATAAATAATACTATAATAAACGTCTTTTACAATATAGAATCTAGGTGTTACAGTAATTTCTGAATTAATAAAACAATTTATTACAATCAATTCAAAGACCCTTATGTTATAAAAAAAAAAACACTAAACTTGTCTGCTTAGAATTTTTGTATACTAGAAAATATTAAATGATTAATAACTAAAAATTTTAAATCTTAGTGTTTTGATTTTCAGTATTAGTACCAAATCTTTAAATTCTTTTGCTTAGCTACAAGCGCTTACAAAAAAATTTAACTGTCAATGTCAATAAGGAATGTTAGGTTGTCAGGAAAAAGGAAATAAAATTTTTGTTTAGCAAAATTGTGATTCGTATATAGATAAATTTGCATTTATTTAACGCGTCTGTTAGCAAATTACGAAGCAAATGCAACATTTTAATTTAATTAATTTGATCATGTATTGAATACTATTGACATTACACAAACGGTAACCTTTACTTCGTTTCGTCAATAATTTTAAAGATAATATTTACTACTTATATATATTAGAAATCCAATATGTTTTGCTTGTATTTCAGATGTATTCGCCGCGTCAAAAGATATTATGGTTTGCATTTAGTACTAGAATTGTTGTGATATTTTTACAAGCAATATCTAATATCGTGATACCCGACCACGACGCCAATGTTTTTATAAGCCCAGAGGATCCATCGTTACGCAAAACTTATGCAGATACTGCCGTAGATAATTTGTTAGGCGGCATGAAACGATGGGATGCACAATATTTTATACACATTGCACAATATGGATACACTTATGAGAATTGTTTAGCATTTTATCCATTATTTCCAATGGTTGTAAGATATGTAGCATATGGACTATGTAGTTTGTTAGGAACACTGTTAAATTTTCATAGTGCATTGTTAATATCTGCAACAATCATAAATGTTTTAATGTTCATTAAATCTGCTGATGTTTTACATAGATTGAGTTTAAGAGTTCTAAGAAGCGAGTGCAAGGCATACAAATGTACAATACTTTATTGTATTAACCCTGCAAGTATATTCTTTACAGCACCATATTCAGAAACATTATTTGCTTGGATGTCATTTTATACAATGCTTAAATGTACAGAAAATGAATCATTGCGATTTGCTAATATTGATATAACAAGTGGAATGCCTGCAGGGTTTTCCATGATAACTAGATCAAATGGTTCAGTAAATTTAGGTTTCATTCTCTATACAAGTTTCAAAAATGTAATAGAGAGGACATTGCCAGAAATTGTGTACAAATACAAGACATTAAAGCATAGAATTATACTTCCTTTCTTGCTGTTACCTCTGTTCACATCAAGTGTTGCACTTTTTTTGTCTGTGATAATAGCTTTGATCCCATTTCTTTTAGTGCAAACATATAATTATTTTAAATTTTGTGTTCAAAATGATCACAATTTGCCAGAATTTTTGTCTAATACAGAATATGTTTTACCAGGAAGTGCAGAAAGCCCTTGGTGCAATAACACTATACCCTTATCATATTCATATATACAGAGTCATTACTGGGATGTAGGATTTTTTAATTATTATAAATTAAAACAGATTCCTAACTTCATGCTCGCTTCTCCAAGCATATTTTTGATCATGTACCACTGTATGTCTTATATAAACAATAATATAAAATTATGTCTTAGACTTGGATTAAAGTACAATATATTTGGATATTCGAACAAGATGCCTTATAGGCAAAAGCAATATTCTAAAGGATTTGGGGCCAATGATCCTACAATATTTGTGTATGTAGTACATGTAATGTTTTTAACAATATTTTGCATAATTTTTGTTCATATACAAGTATCAACAAGACTTCTGGCATCTGCCAGCCCAGTGTTGTACTGGATATGTTCTAGCAGAATGAATGTAGGCCCTACACCAACTTCAGATCAAAACACTATTAATGAACATTTTCGTCGTATTGGTATTGGAAAAAGAATACCTTCCCATCACTTATCAATAGCTAATTTAGAGGGTGTTGATAATATGTATAGCAAATGGAAAACATTTATAATATCGCGACGCATGCCTGATTTTCAGTCAAGGTTAATACAGTATTATTTTATAGGGTATTTCATAATAGGCACTGTATTTTTCTCAAATTTTTATCCATGGACTTAAAAGATTCGTCTTAAACAGGACATATCACATTTACGTATCAAATTTATTTTTTATCCCTATTTAATGAATTTCAAAGTATTATCAATGAAATTATTTCTAACATATCAGATGACTAAAGTTAATTATTATTGATAACATATAACTCATACAGTTGTGCAAACTTCTCAGGAATAAATTTATGATTTAGAGAATTTTTGGTAATACGATTCGCATTTAGTGCTACCTTTTGTTTATTAATTGATGGAAAATGACAATAAAATAATTTTTTTACTAAACTTATTACTTTAGTTTCAGAGCTTAGTATTGTGTTAAAAATATTTTAATGTTCTTCTTAATGCTAGAATCATAGAGTTTTTTTAATAGATATCGTCATTTTTTTAAGATTTCTAAACATTCCTATTTGATAGTATTATGCATTATAAGACTAAAAATATTAGGTCATATTTAATGTAAGTTGTCTTTAAATAATAACTAGGACTTGACATTTTTCTGCTTGAACTTTAATAAAGCATGGGGCCTTTCAAAGTTATAGTAGGTACTTATAGTCCATTTATATAATAGCATCATCTAGTTAAAAAATCATTGCCTTTATAATTACTTAGGTAAAACGATTGACAAAACTGAACTGCGATTTATTCTAGTCATTAGTTTATAAAATAAATGTTTAATATTTCTTTAATTTATTGTATCAGATACATAATTATTTCAATTTGTCAGTAGTTAGCTAAAGTTGCGCCTAGACGTGTGTAATTTGTAAAATTTGTCATGAAAATAGTATAGACGAGCATTGTAACCGCCTCTATGTTCGCTTAAAATGTGACACGGACATGTGCGTGAGCGTTTTACGAGTATTTAAAATGTTTATCCGAATTACAACTTTCTAATCCATACAGTTATGTAACAAAAAATTTTACTTACAAACACTAAACTTGGGGAACTCGCACGGCAGTAGTGTAGCCAATATTCTTTAAAAGTTAAAGCATTTAGGGAAATTTAAAGGATATGCTTACAAGCGGCGGTTAGCCCAACATCAAGGCACAGAGGAATAATTTTTATTTCGGACTTTTTGGTCCATTAATATGTATTAGTAACAATGTTTTTAAAGTTAATGTTAGTAAATTTACACACGCGCACATACATTAACAATACATATTTATACACAGAATTAACGTTATATTACACTTACATTACCTACAGCTCTAAACGATGCATTTCGTTTAGCCACGTCTGAACACAGCTTAATTTAATTTCTTAGCTTTGTTATTATGCAGACGGAATTGACTTATTGAGTAGGTATAAGTGAAGATCGAGTTTGTTTATGAAGAGAGAGAAACCGACTTGGGTCCAAATAACAACAGCCAAATATATACCTACCTATATATGTATATATATAGGTACCTGAAATGTTTATAAGGCCCATTTTGTCTTGTACAAAATTAAGTAAAGTTTTGTACAAAAATATATGTTTATATATTTTAAAAGAGATTCGGACACGCTTTAAATAGTATTCCGTAGTTATACTCGTATTAAACTTGATTGATCAGACCTTTGCAGTTATTAATTAATAGATTCTAAAATTTTTTTTTTCACATTTTATTAACTTGTTATAGCAAACAATACTATCACCTTCATTCATGTTTTGCCATTTCTGGTACTAGATGTTTTTCTCTATACTCATAATTTTAAAAAAAGTAAAGCTGCTTAGCGACAGAAATGCAATTCGATATAAAGGTTCTTTATGCAGATTTTTGAGTGAAGACTACCCAATTAAAATTTTAAAATTCAACATTTTCTATCAATAAGAAATAGACCTCTTCTGAAGACTCATTGGATGAGATAGTAAACAAAATTTTAAATGTATCAATTTAAACATTACATATAGACATTACAATGAAACTGTAGTCACTTTACTATTGACTACGAAACTCCTAAAAAATATAATTTTCCATGATAATACTTTAATTATGACATAATACAAATATAATTTTATGATATTAATGGTAGGTATGATTCGTATATTTAATAAGCTAATATTCGTTTACTTTTATATTATTTGCAATTATAGGTACCGTCCATTATTTATTACCACTACAACCATCCAAAATAGAAAATAACTAATTAATTTTACTGCCACTTAGAAACTGTTACTGTACAATTAAAATTAATTGTTATTTAAATAAAGTCTTTTAAATCACTTAATATAAGTATTTTTATTAATTAGCTTTTTGCCTATAAAAGTAAGATGCTATATGCTCACATTTAAAGTCAACTTCACTTATAATATTGTTAGATAAGCCAAATTTTTTATGGTTGTGAAATTGTATTTTAATTAGTAAGGTAGCGTGCACAATTGCCATATTTCTTTAACTACTTCTATTGAAATAAATCAAAATAAATTTAATACAAAGTTTTTTATTATCGAAAGCACAATACATACCTTTATATACTTATATTACACGAAACATACATTGAGATTTCTAAAATTAAATTTTTTTTGTCAGATTTTTATTACTGAAGTCAACCTGTTTTTCTGTCTTGATGTATTACTATTGTTAATTCACGTACGTATCAGAATATAAATGTCGCGTAATACATATGTTCATAACTATAACAATTCTGAACTTTATTAAACTGATAAGTAAATATGTGTTACTCGCGACTTCACAATATATAATTTTGAAAATAAAATTCGTTGTCCATTTAGCCAGTTGAGCGCAATTGAGTAACAATTTTTGTCAAGTTTGTCATTTTTCACATTTCATCTGAAATCTATGTATCTATTAAAGTACAAGCTTTTAAAAATTATCTTCTAGTTTCTTCAATAAATATTTACTTATGGGACTTTTCACTTCACATATAATTTATATAAATTTTTTTTTCTTAGCAATATTGTATCTTTACCATGAGTAATTTTACCATCTCTAAAAGTACATTTTAAAAGTTATTCATAGGTAAACTAGTAGATTAGATAGCGGTAGACTGGTTTGGAATTTCTTTACATTTTCATAAATTTTTGGTTTGAAAATTTTAATGGACCAAGAATGGAATATCTTCATCGGTAAATCATAACTCTGGTACCAATACAGTAATGCGTGAATATTATTTCTATCTATAATAAGTAGCTACTAATAATACATTTTGACAATATGAAATATTGTCCAATAATTTTTTAATATTTTTTATCCGTCACATTTGAATATATTTAGGTTTTCGATAATAAGTACATTTCACTTTATAAAAACTAGTAGCAACTTAATATAATGAAATTTGTTTATCAGTATCAATATTCTGATCAATCATTAAGATCAGCGTTACATTCTGTCAGTGTTTTAGGCGATGTTTCTGTGGAGTTAGGTTGCGTGGAGTCCGGTAGGTGTATGTCCGCGGCGGGGCGCGAGGGCTCCCCGCCGGCGGGGCCCTACGCAACCGCGAGAGCCTCTTGCAGCCGCTGCCGCGCGCGTTTCACGCGCTCCTCTTGCCGCCGCACGTCGTCCTTCGTTATCGTTACGGCCGCTATCAGCGGCTGCTCAGGGTTTAAAAAAACACCAGGGTTCTCTAATATCGCCTGTTTAGATCCAGTTTGTCCTGAAACATATTTTTTATATATAGACGTTTAATACAATCAATTTTCCCTAAGGAACACAAATCGAATTTTTTTTTTTAACTTACAACTACCTGTGTATGACTGGATCTCTTTATAATAACCTGTAATCTCGAGAATTATTTTCATATATCTTTTTTTCAAAAATTCAAAAATAGTTAATTTTTTTTTAAATTCGCAACTAAAAATTATTCGGCAATCGTTAGAACAGGAGTACAAAAGTCGATTGCTTGGGTACCTCTGTCCCATTCGTGTTTCAACCGTGAAGCAGTTGTGTTTGCATGGCTGTGTTTCGGTTTGAAGGGTGGGATATGGCGTGAATTTACTGGGTACAGAGGAATAACACCTGAGTCCTCAGGAATGGCAACGCATGGGGGTATCATGGGCGAAACAGTATACTCTGTTATGTCCATGGTACTGCTCATGTCTATAGGCGACGGTTACCACTTTCCATCAGGTGGGCCGTCAGCTTGTTTGCCATTCTAAGTTTTATAAAAAAAAAAAGATACTATTTTGGGGTACTTTTTAGTCAATCTTGGTTGCATTTTTTTACATTTATATAAATACGTAAAATACAATTTACGAATAGATATATGGTTATTGCCTTGTTTACTCAACTGTTCCGTAGCAATGAGCTAGGAAACGAGCATGATGAAAATAGGTAACGCGAGTAATGTAAACACATCACTCGCCATGACACCCCTTTTGCCCTTGTTATGGATTTCAGAGCAGTGCGGTAGCGGGATTTCTGGAGATTTACATTTTGATATATGATTAAGGTAATTAAAAATAATGTTTTAAAGCTTATGTGTCGTCGAATGAAGAAATGTAAACGCATATTTTATAATGTTGATTTCCTATTAATGTAATGATTTATTATATTATTAATATTTAAATTCATTGAAGCAAGGACACTACAAAATAATAAGTTTTAGAATTTTATAATACGCAGAGATGAATAATAATGATTGAAACTCTGCAGACATGTGGTCTGAAATCAAATGCAAACTGAGTTCAAGTGAAATAAATAGTTCGGCAATATACAAATTGAATTTTACAATTTATTTATTTATATGATTTTGTATCAGCCTTTAACTGTCCACTGGTGAATATAAGCCTCTCCCTTGGGGGATTTTGCCAGTTGCCACGCTTGGCAGATGGATTAGCTGGTGGAACCGCAGTTAGGCTTTAGAGATATTTTAAGAGACGCTGCTGCCTATCTCTCGTCCTCCCTTAGTCGCTTCTTACGACACCCTCAGAAAAGGAAGCGGTGGCCTATTCTATGCCAGATAAAAACGAAAATGTACACGGGCGAACTTAAGGACAAACTCCCTTAAATGGATTTCTTCCAGTTAACTTTGAGAATACAAGAAAAGTATTTTGGAATCTAAATATTGATAGACACTGGAGGAATTGAATATAAAGTAGTAGATAATCAATTATGATTATCAAATACAGTAAGAAAGAGTACACTTTATAATAGTTCATCTTCACGCATCACAAACTGTGTATTCTACCGCTTGTACAATGGACTGTGCTCAGAGGAATTGTTTAACATGATGCTTACAGCTACTTTCTACCAACGTACAACTCGCCACCGATAAGGAGTTCATATACCTTTAGGTCGCGTACATAGCAGTTTCAGAGATGTTTCCACCCACGAACGCTCAGATTATAGAATGAGCTCCCTGTCAATGTTTTTCTAAGAGACTACAGCATGGCGTTATTAAAAAAAGGGATAAATGTTTCTTTAGGATTGACAACACGCGCTTAATACCTCTGTTATTGCAGTTGTTCATAGGCTACGGTAACCGCTTACCATCAGGTGGGCTGTATGCTTATTTGCCACTTCAGTGGTATAAAAAGTAGACAGAGATATGCGCTATAAAATAATTGGATTCTAATTTAAAAAGGCATGTATGTTTATTCGTAATAGAAATAAAAGATACAATGTTTAAATACGGAAGGAAACAGACAACAAGGATTTTATTTTTCTTATTTCAATGCTAATTATTGTTTGTAAAAATTTACATTAGAACGCATAGTTTCAAAGGAAATTGAGATTAAAATATCGCCCGTTTTCTTTTTTCTTTTTTTTAATACAATATAACATATCAACATTATCTACCTGTTATTGGTTGAGAGGAAACGTGAAGAGCAGTCGCCAACGATTGTATAGTGGTAGCATCAGAAGTATATGGACCTAATGGCTTAATATATTTAGGAAGGGAGGTCGTCCCAATAACTCCATTTGCATCACACGCCGTTAGGCCCTGTAACAGATTTAATTATTTATTTTACATAATATGTATAGATTTTTTGGTGGATGAAAATGGAACGGTAAACATACCTGTGCGCTATCAGTATACACCTGCAGGGTTCTGTCAGAGTCAGAGATGATAGGTGGGAATGAACTCAGACCCCTTAAACAAGGGGGTAAACCAAACAAGGGGGTATACTAATAGAATCGTTTTCGCTACAGAGTTCGTGATATAGCTCTTACACTATATGATTCTATCAATAGATTTGTTTGCCACTTGTATAAGAGGGCTGGTCAGTTGGTCCATCGTGACGTATAAAGCAAAATTAACCATAATGGTATTCGGGTGGACCTATGGGATGGAGATAGACCTAAGCTTATATTGCTTACGAAGATACTGCTAGTTCTTATTACTAATAATCCCCTCCTTCAATCACATCACTTACATATCACATCAGCGGATATTTGTCCACTGCTGAATATAGGCCTCCCGTATTGGAGGGTTTTGCCAATAGTTGCTATGCTTGGCAAGCGGTTGGCAACCGCAGTTAGGCTTTAGAGATGTTTTAAGAGGTACACTGATTCCCATCCCCCGACCATTAAGTTCCTTTAGTCGCCTTTTACGACACTCAAGGGAAAGAAAGGAGTGGCCCATTATATGCCGGGATCTTCTTTAATATAGATTGGTTATACACAGTTATTGTCGCTCCTAGTGTATTTATAGGTAACTGTGAAAATTTAAAAAGCTCTAAATTAAAAACAAAAAATAAAAACTCGATCGCTAGCAATATAGCCTGTCAGGTCGACCTTCCCGCGGTGCCTCTGGAAATAATGATGCTTAATTTGGGATGTATTCATCACGACAGGCTAACTGATTCTTGCCTTTCATCCTTACCTACCTATCATCTGTCACTGGTACTCTATGAGCGTATAGGTACCATTAGCGCAGCTACTATTATCATTTACTATTAAATATTTTATTATGATACCAACCTCTAACCTCTTTTCCCAAAACAATTGTTTTGGTTTCTCTTGGGTGCCATGTTTCAAGTCAGTCTTCACTTTACTCTCTTGTGTTTTGTATACGGTAACGGGCTGCTTAAAAATTGATGCAGTTTGTCGTATTGGCGGCACCAGTGATGCGTCAGAGCGTACACCCCTGTTTTAGATACAATTAGTTATATTAAACCTTAGTTAATTTACAAACGTCCATTTATTCAGAAACTCCACGCATCACTCAAATATCGCAATTGCAGTTTCGTATTTTGTTTGCACAAATGGGTCTTTTAAAATATCCAAAATAAGACCAAAAAGAATACGAAAGTTTAAATTTTATGAATGAATATTTTTTAATTATGAAATTATTATATCCATGGATGTTTTTTTTTATTAAAATCCCATTATTACACTTTGGTACAATACAAATAACGTAATTTAAGTTAAAAAAAATAATAACAAATATCAGTAGATATACTGAACTTAGAAATTTTAGTTACCCTGAGCCCTCTCGTGCTTCCAACGCCACGTTTGCTGGGTTTCGGTTTATAGAGACACCTTAGTCCTTAAGGATGACAAATAATACTAATCCAGTATGTGAGACGATCCTGTTCGTTAACTTTGTTGGACGGCACTTCTGCGTGGTGAGACTTACGGGGGTCGTATTATGTATTTACAGACGTGCTCTTCTCTTCCCTGCTAAAATCCCCACATCCGCGGGGGATAACTTAATTTTTTTTTCAAATATGCCTCGGACTCTACAACAGGCTTTAACAGCGTTTATTCAATAAGTTTGTATCGAAAAGTTCTGCGTTTCTAAAGATTTTTTTTAAAACTCAGATTTTTATACAAACTTTTCGAGTAGGTAGTAGGTAAATGAGAATCAAATGGTAACGTAAATTCTTTGTATCACTCTCAGAGTACGCACTCAGCTCAAATAAATCGATAAAAGTAACGCAAGAATTACAAATAGGAATAGGAAGGTATGGTAGGTATACTTCTGAGCTAATTAATTTATTAGTTAATGCTAAGACTTAATAGTATAAGTATACCTACCTATCGAACTATAAAATACTTTACATAAATTTAGAAATATTGTGAAAAATATCGTAAAAATGGACTATACACCATCACTTGATTGGTATATACTCTAGTCATATAGCTTATTCTAATATAAACACTTTTATATCTTACTGGTTTAAAGATATTAACAAGATTCCAAAATTCCTAAACAGAATGAACATAATGGTTATTCACAATCAACTTGTAGAATTCGCTTATATAGCCGTTTTAAATAACGAGACCGTAAATATTACGTCGGATTTATATTTAGCTATTTATGGCTGAACATACGTCCGCTATATTGAATCAGCACTTTCCTAAGCTCTAATCGTATTATACCTAATATTTGAATATTGTTTATATATAGTAGTGTATATGGTACTCGATCATGGTAGTCTAAATTGAATAAGGTACACAGTTAATTAATAATACCTAGTTCAGTAAAATACACATCAATTATTCTAGTGTTAACTAAATTCTGAACTTTTATTACACCTAAAACCCTAAACCTTATGTTATAGCTGCTGCATTGTAGAATACTAATCCGACGTAATATAGAACGACTCCGTTTTTTAACACACCCAGCCGTTAAATATTGTGACGAATGCTACAATTTGGATTTTCAATTTTTGTACACACATAAGCTACCACTACCTTACAGTTGGAATGTGAAAGTGGTGCAAGATTTGTCCACATTAGTTAAGCTATAAAAACAAATGATAAAATAGAATTAGCAAAGCCACTGTGAGTTACAACAATGAATGGTGAAGTAAGACAGGCACTAGCTAATAACATAGACTAAGCTTAATGTGTCAATGGTTAAACAGGAACCAGTACTGATTTTGTGTTTAAGCTGTGCAATAACTGGTGTTTGACTATCTAATGAAATAATAATAAATAAATCACACAAACTCTAAGATATAAGTTCTAGGGCACACTGACAACTATACAAGCATTTCTAATCAGTAATAGCATATACAATAACACAAAGCAGGACTGCACTATGATCACAACACAAGTGAGAGAAGTTATGACACTAATGTGGAACCTGTAATCGAACTGCGCTCGTGCTTTCTTGGCCTTGCACAGCAGCATTGTGTTTATTTGACCCTGCTGAAAGTCGAAACACGACAGGTCCATACTATCACCGAGATAACGTACTAGCTCCGGTTTACTGCGAAACTTTTTACCTGTTGGGCTACAGAAAATTCATTGTCACAACAGCCAGTCTATCATGATTGAGTAGTGTTGAAGTTAGCTATAGGTGTTAATCCCTCACTTAGTGATGCATGTTACATGCGAGTAGACATTTGATTGTTATAGGTAGATACTTTATATAATTTACACATAGTAGAACTTACATAATATGTCAAAAGAAATTAAGCATTGTTTGTTGGTAAGCACATCACATGAAAATGTCTGGATCAGTTAGGCTAATTTTATATTCATAATGAAAAAGCCAATAGAAATGGAAAAAAAAAATGTCATATATATTTTAAAGTAAAAGCAAATTTTTTGGGTCTACTCTTATATTGAATTATATTAATCTTTTAATTCGTAATTTTTATCCCACTACCATAAAAGATTTATAATAATAGTCATGATTGTCAGCACTTGGTGAAACTTTGAACCCATATCAATATTATTAGATAAACATTTGTACTCTTCCAGTAATGCTTATTATAAATACCAGACCAGTTTTATTGGTTTGATTGCACAAAGAAAAAAATTGGCAAACTTTGAATAGCGAAACCGTAAAATTGGTCAATTATTTAATATAACAATGTTATATATAACAATGTTAGAAGTATTTTGCTAAAAATAATATGGATTTATTTATTAACTTTACTTTATTCTTTCAAACTTAGAACAAAAGTGGCAAGAAATTGTTCAGTTGACCATTTTTAAGATGTCTATGTTTTATCTAGATGTATATGATCTAGTTTGTATGGAACTCTGCAGCACCTAACAGAGCATTTTGCAAGGAACTTGATGCAATATTTTTTTTTATAAGTCATTATTGCAACCCATGATATAAATAAATCAGAGTTATAAATATAATAATTAATATAAACATAGTTTTAAAGTGTGTTGAAGTCGCAACTTTTTAGTAAATTTTTGTATACTTTCACTTGTTGTTGATGCCGTGTGGGGGGTATGAAATCCACAAATACTTAGAGTGATACAGTGTTTGTGTGTAAGGTAAGAAAGGGATTATTAGTAATGTGGCCTAATAGTCCCATTGCTAGGAATATACCCTAACAGATTGAACTCCACATGGTCCCCCTAGAAACTATAATTACTATTTTTTGATGAATTTGTTATAATAGGTTAACTGAAATTATTTCTTATCACCTATCATCACACACTAATTCCCCGCCAGCATATGCCAAACACACACGCAGGGTTATCAATCACTTCATTATGACCTTGTAAAAACAAAACCTGATGGAAAATGGTAACCATCATCTACAGATATAGACAACTCTATGTATCTCAGAAAATAAATGCCCATAGTATTGCCATTCGTGAGAACTAAGATAATGGGCTTCCTTCTCTGTAACTTCACTACCAAATCCCATCGTCCAAACCAAAACACAGCTATGCAAGAACAACTGCTTCACAGCAGAAACACGGATGGTACAGAGGTATATAGGTATTACCATATAAATATCACCAATGTACAATATCACCCTCTAGCAAAAAATTTTTAAGGTAGATATGATATATAGTATGTGGGTTGATAACAAATTATTTTAAGCATTCCATATTAACACTGCACATTCAACTGTTATGTTAGTATGGGAAGCTCAAAAGATTTTCATTTTCAAATTTTTTATTTAAATAATTTTTGTCCTATCATATTCTATAGCATGGCTAAATTGTTACTATATATTAGACAGCCCCTATCTGAAAGTAAGTGTAAAATGGCTCAGGAAATTTTACTAAGGAGTATAAGGTGTTTATCACAACTTATCAATATCTTTGAACATTCTCTAAAAAAATATTGAATTGCCAATAGTTTGGATTCCCCACAGCAAAATCATTCCCTTGCTCAACCCCTCCACTGTTCTCCGTTCATAAACCTATTTTATAACAACAAAACATGTTTGAATGTCTTTTACTAAAATCATACACAAATGACTGGATGTTTTGATTAAAATTTAGGACAAGAAAAAAAGCAATGTATATATTGTTTTAGGAAAGAAATGTTATTTCGGATTATCCTAACTGGCGTGTGAACATCAGCAAGACACAGATAGTACTTCATAAATTCGCCCAACCATATTAATCAAATATCCCTAGGTAGTATATACAACTCATACAATCAAATGTCTAACTCAGCACTTTTATAAATAAATTCTACCAAATTTATACAAGTCGATGAGTTTTAGTAATGTTCCCAGAAATTTAGAAAGAAGTTACTTTACAAACTATCCGAAAAGTAATCGAGCTGACAAAAATACTTTCTAAAATCCATGAACTTATTTCTATCAAAGAATTTTTGTATTATCTATGCTGGATAATTGTAATGATAATAAAATCATAACATAAACATTAATACCTGTAATAATAAACATCAACTTTGCCAGCAGTTAGGCCAGTTTTTCTTAGGACTTCTTCTCTTTGCCATCCTTTTGGTAGTGCAGTACAATCTGATCTTTTCCTCTCAATAGAAATATTCATATTCCGTTTTAAATGAGACAAATTTAATTAAGGTAAAAATGAAACACTGATTTAAGAAACTCGTTTTTGTTATTATTTTTAAATGCAATTAATTAGAGAAAGAATGAAGGAAAATAATAATATAAGTCGGATAGCATTCACAAATTAGAGCACAGATTAGAGAGCTATGTTTACTCTGGCATATGTTGTCATAATAGATGCAGTATTGTCACCACTAAAAAACCAAAAAGTCATTTTTTTAAATAAAACTCACAGAATACGTTGTATATAAATCTATCAATAAAATCTTGGTATGTCTTTGTGTATCTATTACTTTTATGAAGCCTAATCATACTATTTTTCCTTAGATATCTCCATATTAAATATATGATGAACAAGGTTTTGATTATATTAGTATGTACTCTGTAACTTTCCTTACAGAGTAAGTAAAAGTACGTTTCGCAACGTTATTTTAGGGATAGCACTGTTTTTATCTTGACGAAATTTGAAAACGAATATGCAACCACCTATAAATAACAACACTATAGAATTAATAAATATTCATAGTCTTATCTAATTATTTATAATATATTTTGATCCATAATATCGATAATGCATTACAAAAGACATAATTATTTTATAGTGTACGATTTTTAAACTGATTCTAATGAACTGCATACATAGACGTAAAACAAACTTTTTGTTAAAAGTGATGTGGGCTTGGTTCTGTCTCACTAAGTGATTAATAAATGGTAGTTCCATCAAACACTTGAAATAATCCGTGGTGAAACCAAACAGTTGGATTGTGTAGATTTTCATAGAACTTTGTTAGTATTATTCAGTTTATTATGAAAACGAAGTTGGTTTATTTGAGTGCTTTGGCGTCTATATGAAGTATTCAAAAGTAAGTATAAGTTTCATGTATTGGTTTAATTTTGCGATTATGTAGCCATGAACGGGTTGAACTTTTGCATCTATCATACTTTCACTTCGATTTATTTCGTGATTTTTTTATTCTATGTATTATTAAAATATTTGTTTAAACATTTTTTTGGGATCGGTATTTAGCTGAAATTTTAATTTTCTTATATTATGACAGTCATAACTTCGAAACCTGTACACCTCCACAAAACACTTGGCAAAGCTTGTATTTTTGTTCACCAAAGGTACAAAATTGAATCCCTAATTTTGCTTTATACGTAGTGTACTAGTAGATTCCATAAGTAAGCCTTTTTGTTGTCTTAATTGGCAAACAATCGTAATACGTCCTTTAAATGAAAATAATAATTTATCAATAATAGTAACATAAACTCAAAAATGATATTTATGTTCAATAATATTCCACAATTTTTTTGTAAAACACTTGTTTACCAAATAAGATATGTATGGTAGAAGTAATAATGATGGAGTTTATTAGTACTGAGTATGGGAGGGAAGGGATTATTAGAAATAAGGATTAGCAACCCTATTACTAACAATATGCTCTATCAGGTCGACCTCTTTGCGTTTCCCTCTGGAAACTATAGTTATCCCAGGATGATCTTTGTATCAAAGTATAAGTTTCTTAAAAATATTTTGATTTTATTAATTAGTGAACCAGGCAAAGATCATTTCTATTGTAATCTATTGTAAGCCTATTAAACTTGCATATATGTTAGATATCTCTTTACATAGTTGAAAGTTCCACTTCTGATCCTGGAATGGCACCAGATAATTCACAGTCCCCTATATTAATCAAATATTGTTTTATATTGTCATATTTAATATATATCTATATAATATTTTATTCTGTATTTTTTTTTACATGAATCTTTTTGATATTTCATTAGTCATTTTTCTATTGGGGATAGAGGCGAATGCAACAAATCATAGACCATCAAAAATCTGGCCAGCCTTCCTAGAGTTGTAAATGGTGTAACTAATCAGACTTCATTTTATTTACATAGATTACTATAAAATTTGCTACACTCATACTATATGGGATAGAGAAAGACATAGGCTACCTTTATTCTGGTCAGTGAACATATCCTGGTCATGCAAATAAAGTCATGGTTATTTATTATATAAGTGCTTGTTTTTCCTTACCTTCATCCACATGATCATGCTATGTCAGTTGACAGGGATAAAAGTTACCCTATTTTCTCCTACTAGGTATTCAATGAACATTATCATCATTAACAGTGATGAAGTATTCCAATATAGAAAGAAGCTGATTAGGCACACCCCTAGTCCTAAAAGATACCGTTGTTGAGAAATCACGTCCAAAACTATTCATAAACATAGTCACAGTCTGGTATTATTTATCCTTTGAGACATGGCCAAAGTATATATACTAGACACTGTTTTAGAAAGTATTTTTAATGTTTTAGAACCAAGATCATATTACTGACTAGACATATGTATCTGAGGATAGATTATAGCAATGTAGCAAAAAATTCTCATATAAAACTGTTTTGCAGTTATAGGGTACTTTAAATGAAGTTTATGGTAATTTATAAAATAATACTTTAGTGAAAGAATATTTTTCGGGATATTGTATTAAAAAATGAAGAGAGTAGTTACTCTCTTTTAAAAAGTCTATTTCAGATATTGAAGTATTTTTTCACACTTAATTCTCAATTTTACCGATACTGACAAAACACTTGAATAACTAAAAAAAGTTTGCAAATTTAATTTATTATGAGTAACAGGGTTATTTATAAAGATGGGTTTAAATACTTGGACTTTATAATAAACCCTAGCGTCAGATTTTCCTTACATGTCTTATTTGAAAGGAAGCCTTTGTTCTAGTAAATAAATATTGATTGATTGATGAATCATTATTTGTTCATTAATAATGCGAGTATTGCTATAAAATAAAATGAGTAATGTGTCATATGAATTCCTAGAAGGAAATAATAAGGAAATGTTAACAGAAGAATTACTTCTAGTTCAGGAATAAGTCATAACTACTACATATAGTAGCTTTTATTCCGTGACTTTGATCATGTGATTTCCCAATCTGAGTCCCTCATAGATTTCCGATCTATACAAGGGGTGATCTAAAAGTTATCTTAAGCACGGTAATTATAATTAAAAAAATAATTTATTTGTCTATATAGTCTCTTAACAAGTCAATGTATTTAGTCCATCTTTATACCTACCTAGATATTATCCCTTAGAAAAATAATTTTTGTCTAGACTTGTTTTTTTTAATTTTGATACTATTTTTTCGACTTTTTCTTTTCTTTGGTTCATAACAAATTAACAAGTAAAAAATTGTTCTTTTATTTTTGTGCTGCAAATAACAATAAAAAGTGAAATAATACAAACTATGTGATAATTTTTCTTAAATTTATTAAAAGTAGTAAACTTATTTTTAAGCAACTTAAAAAGTTAATTGTTGCTTATAGATAATAATATGATGGACATTATAGTATATGGTACCCCTGCCTGCGAGTGTATCCCTGGTGTTCATTGCCTTTTTTGAGGATCGAGGATGCCTCTAGGATATATAAGACTTTGGTCCTCAGTACATTTGTTTTGTACAATTGAGAATGTTCTCCCTTATCATGTAATTTTTGTTTGTTATGTGATTTTTACAATTTTTTTTCAATGTTGTGGTCCCATTTTCATTTTGTAACGATTGGAGCTGGTGATTTTTTTTATTTGGATAATGAAAAGGTGCATGTTGTGAAGCAAGATTTGTATATATAATATGTAAACACGTTATATTTAAAATGTAGCACCTTAAAACTACGTCATTTATCGATGCGTTCAAAATTGAAATCGCGAATTAATTGGAAATTTACTTAATAACAAATAAATTTACTAATAGGAGATCAATTATTGGATAATTCAACTTTTGTTGTTTTTTAATTACTGATTTTTTTAATAAAGTTAATAAATATATTTTTCTCAAACATGCTTGGAAATTTGAGCATTATTTTGACAACCTTCTTCGAGATAAATCGAACTTGCGGTACTGGTCGAGCAGCGGCCGGCAATAGTTGTATGAAAATCCATATCTGTCGTGTTTAGCGACCAAATAAATTACTATCATATTTGTCGTGTAATTTAAAAATAGAACGATCTTCTACTCCGCAACATGGCGATCAAAGAGGTAACTTATCAAAGGTTAAATTTAAATGTCGAATTGGCTTGCACATAGAAAGCTGTTTAGTGAAAAAAAATAATACTTTCGTGCGTAAAAAACTATTGTTATTAGTTGTTCGTCAACTTCGTCATTGGTTTTAAATACTTTTGTATTTGACAAAATGAGTTAGTGAAGACAATGAGTGTAATGAAATTATTTTAACGCCACCTGAAATTCAAGAGGCAGCAAGAGCCGTAGTAGAAAACTTGTTGCCGCCAAAATCTAAAGAAAAATATTTGAAAATCTATGAAAATTTTGTTCAATGGAAGAATGAAAGAAAATCGAAATCCTTATCCGAAAATGTTTTTCTGGCTTATTTCGGCGAACTCGCCAAGAAAGTGAAGCCTACAACGCTTTGGGTCATCTATTCAATGCTAAAATGCACAATTTTAATGAAACATAACGTGAATTTGAATAATTTCCGCGCATTATTTGAGAAAAGTACTATACAAGCCTTGGCCGCAACTAGGCATTGATGGACCCACGTATGTGTGCCTCGGGTTCCCCTCGGCCCACATTCACACGTTCGTCCATCAATGCCTCTCTTGCCTCGCTGCAGTAATGTACTATATTATGATTGAAAAAATCTTTTTTTCTTTTTAATTAAAATCTTATAAAAAAAGAATATGCATTTTAATGTTAAAATTATCGGAATTACAGGACTAATTGTGATATTGAGTTGAATTAAGGAATTTAAAACTACGAAAGAGAATTAGCAAGGTCCTGAAGTAGGCACAAGAATAGGCATTTGTTATGGGACCTCACTACAACTGTGAAATTGTGACATTCGATTGGACCTATTGTCACAATTTGACAATATTAATAAAGTTTTAATTTAAGAAAGAGACAGAATGGCGATTCAGAATCGACTTTATTGTGTACACACAATACGGCTACGATACGATAGTTTCACAATGTTTCTTGGCCGGAAACATATTTAGCCGGTTATTAATATGTAATGTGTATTAATTTTATTATGTATGTAACTTGTATGTATGTTGATAGCTGTCCCCGAAGTTACGGCGGCTGCCAATACTCTCACGCATTCCGTTCAATTATCCGTATGAATTATTC